AATTTATATTTACTATATAATTCAATATAAATTGTAAATAACTTTTCTAATATTTTATATGCTTGAAATAAACACGAATAAAAAGAATGATTCTTTTGCATTTAAGTGTTTTTTTAAAAACAAATTAAAAAATCAACAAATAGCATACCATGGCTGATAGAATTTTTAAATGAAAATTCTACATTGAATGTTATTACTTTCGTTCATTAACTTTACAACAATTATAACAATAAATACCTATTTTTATTGTTTGAGGAACTTTTCTATGACATATTTTCAACACAATTCTACCCTTTTTCCATAGAAACTATCTTATCACCTCTTTGGAGTCAACAATATACAGTGTTCCCTAAGTATTAATCATGCCCATCATTGTATAACTTTAATGATTGTACAAGAACTAGTTTTTTCAATGAAATAAAGTCATTAATAAAAATATTTTTAGTATTATTTAAAAATTGTTTTACTTATATATTTAATTTTTAAAAATCTAACTTTTATAAAAACTGATTTGTCATTCTATCAGTTACAGTGTAAATAGTCGATAGGTTTAGTGTTAATATTAATATTAACCGTTAACACTTAAAATTGTTTTTTTTTTCATAACCATCTATTATCTTATATTTACAATTAAATAGATTACACTTTTCTAAAAAAGATTAAACTTATAAATTTTTAAGAGAATACCTAAATTTAGTATGATATCTTTTTACCGTAATATTATGAACTAAAAATTGTTCGCATTAAAGTGTTCGCAAATTAATTTTCATATAATTCAAAACAATTATTCATTAATCAGTTTACTAAAATTAGTTCCAGAATGTTTTATTCGATTACTAATAATTAATGTTTATATATTCATTCTAACAAACATGCTATATGTATTCAAATGAAAACGTATTAACAAATTTTCAAAGTTTTTTTTAACATTTAAATATAACTTACCTAATTTTAAAGATGTATGCATCCTTTCGATTTCTCCGTATAAAATTGCAGCTAGCCAGGACAAAGCTATCAACCAAAATATTATTAATAATGCAATTATCCATAATAATATAACTCTTATGGATTTCTTGCAACCACATGTGCTATTGCTTTTAACTTTAACAGTGCTTCCTTGTCTATATCTTCTACAACATAAACGACATCTTTATAGCAAGTATTAGATAAGGAAATAATGTAAGCAGTAATTTATGTAAATACTTATATTAAGAAAAATTATAATCTAATAAGAGTATCGGTATTGACATTTATTATTCTCACCGCTTAAATTTTTTTTTTCTTGGTGTTAGGATTAAATCTGCTATGTCCGTATCTGTTTCTGAGAGGAAGTCAAGTAAGTTAACAGTTTCCTTGTTTCCTAGCATAGCCTCTTTCTTGTTATTTAAAAGGTTCATTATTGAATTTTATATTAAATTAATTGAATGCATTTTTACAATGATAATATACCGCAAAATAAGTTTTTACAATGCAAATGATTAATATTATACGTTTAAAAATTAATAAATATAACTACCTTTATTGTATATCCTTCAAAAAAGTTTAATATAATTTATATCTATTATTAGTGAAAAATCTTAACGGAACACTAAATTAAGAAGACATTTATATACTTTGGCATATACCTATTTTAACACGTAAAGAACAGACATTATTGTGGCCGTCACGCCAAAGCTTGGCGCCTCCGGCACTCTTACCGTCGCGCCTCTAGTGGCGAAACTAAGGAACTAAAAAAAAACACCACGTATATGAGCAACCGCTGCTATTCACTCTCTTCCGTTCCAACCACCGAGCTAGACACACGCGTACTCATGAGCAGTAAACAAAGACGTGAAACTAGTCACTACTTCCTTTTTACTCTTTAAGATTTTGTTAAGTTTGTTATATATTTTGTACAAGACCTTTTTGATACGTTTTATAATAAAATATTTATATAATATTTTTCCCTAGTGAATTAGTGATTTCCTAATATAATTGAACACGCTACATTATTCGCCTATATAGTACCATCTGTTGGTGAAAATAAGCATTAAATTTTTAAGGTTTTACTTACCATACATCGGATAAAATATAGTCAACATTGAAAATAAAAAATATAGAAACCGCACAAAAGTTGGCAAGAATTTTTAAATGGTTTTCCTATGCGTGATTTCAAAATGTTCAGAATTTTTGCAATGTCTAATATCATGCATTGAAATTTTATATGAACTGACACCTTCATTATCAATCTCCATTGTTCTTTTTAAATCTAACCTTATGTTCAAATCATTAGAATCCAAATTTGGCAAACCAATTTTATTACGTTTGTTTTGATGAAACGCCTTTACCAAAGACATCACAAGTCTTTTAACGCGCTTGCGTATTATTTTTTCCTTTTTAAAAATAATACAACAAAATATGTAGAAAAATCTCGTTTTGATTTTTCATTTTTAAATGAATGTGCAATAAATAACACTTGAATAATTTGATCACAATTTTTTTGGAAAGGCAAGCTTGAAATGTCTTTTGTTAAATGGACAAACAGTTTATAAAATCGAACTGAAGTTACTTATATTTTACAATTGTCGGTAAATACTGCAAAGACTTATCGGTCTCTCAACGATTATTATATATTTTAATAAGAAAATAGACAAATTTTATAAAATTTGTAAGAGTAATTTTTTTTTTTAAATTTTTAATTACTTCGAATATAGCGTATTGTAGTATTTACGTATATGAATTAGTATCCTCACTTATTTTTGTTGAGATAATTGCTATGTATGCGCATAACAAACAAAATATTCTATTGGAAAGAATGATATCGTTAGGATCGTAAATTCTTCGATCTTTTTTCCGATTATTAGACGAAATAATAATTAATACTACGTATTTAAATTAGGCTTTGTTAAAACATGAAGACATGCATTGACGAGAACAAAATATAATATCGATATAAATTACATTTTCTTGCCTTAGTCCCCTGGTTTAAATTCGAGTCAACCAATCAGCATCAAGGTATATGCGAGTGTCAGTTGCGCCTCTCGCGGAAGACAGAGAAAAGTATAGCAAAGTCTGATTAGAATTTGTGCCGCACTCGACAAGAGGAAAAATCAAAACAATGAACATGGCGGAGCCGAGCAACGAGGCTGCTTCCTCGAGCAGCGTTTCAGAGCAGACCGCGTCGGTTGCACCGATGCGAGACGAGATTGAAAAGGTCGAGGATTTCCTCGAGCCCGACAAGAAGCGTCGTAAACAGGTGCGCGGCGATGGGAAAACCGAGCAGAAGTTGGAGCACCGATTGGGCGGCATCCTCTGCTGCGCAGTTTGTCTTGATCTGCCCAGGGCGGCCGTCTATCAGGTAAGTTTACGGTGCTCCTATCTTAAAAAAAAAACGATGAAAGAAAAGCTTTTACTTATTATTTTACATTTATTGTGATATCTATTTTATTGCAATTTGAGCTTTTAATCGTTTGTCAAGGATTTACTATTACATCGTTATTTCCTTATTCCACCCACGTTTTTAATCAACACGGAATATGTGTCTATCTGGGCATTGCCTTGCGCGCGACATTAATTCCTTATGCATATATGTATATGATTTGTATTTGTATTTGTATATTCTGCACATGTACGTGTATACATTACGTGCGTCATTTTATGTATGTGTGTATGTGTATGTATATACTATATATATATATATATATATATGTATGTATGTATGTATATGTATATGCTATGTATATATATATATATATATATATATTTATATGTATGTATGTATAATTTATATTACGACGTAGTTTATATTTCATTCAATTTTCAGCTATGGACAATTAATTTCTCAACGTTAACTTTTTTAATGAATGTCTTCCTTTCTTTGGTATTGACTTCTTAAGGTCATTCACCTATAATAGCTACTTTAAACGCGTTCGCTAATTCGATTATAATTAGAATCCGTGGATAATTAGCGACATTACATGAGTTTCTGTACAACGATGTGGTAGTCAATAATTTCTAATATGGCGAAAAATATTTTTTCTTCTAATATTGTTTACCATTTATGCAGTTTTTTTATGTTTATAATTATATATATATATATATATTCTTTACTATTTTTTTGTAACTATTTCTCATACTTTTTTATTTCTAAAAAAAAAATTCTCTGTCTCTTCTATCTGTTTTTTTTATATTCTTATTTTTCTATGTAAAACTAAATTTAATGAATAAACTATCCAAAGAACAAAAAAATTAATCATTTAATTTATTTTTTTTTACATCTCATTATCATAACGCGCTATAAAAATAGGTATCTGCAAATGTTAATATTATTCAATATATATACATATATTAGGTGTATTTTTAATTGAATATATATATTTAATATTGCATATCATCGGTATATATATATATATATTTTTTTTTTACTTATCTCTGGAAATATACATTATAAACTAAAGGTAAGAATTAAAGTTCCACAGGTAGGTAAAATTGTAATGCATTTCAGAAGAAAAAAAAAATGGATAATATGCAATTTTTAAATTGAAAAAATATTTATTACCATGTTATTAATTTGATAAAAATATAACGCTACAATCATTTTCCAAAACTCTGTTTTACTATTTATATTTATATATTAGTCGATCAAATAGATCATGAACGAATTTAAGAAATAATAAGAGCATGGTTAAAATACAATTGTATTTTACTTTTCTAACAATATACATTTTAATATACACATAAGGGACGCGAAGAAAATAACGTGTTTAAATTTTTGCAAATTTTTTTTTTTTTTTTTAATTTTCAAGATAATTGCAGGATATTACGGTAGAAAATGTATTGTTTTTAAAAGTGATCGCTTATATGTATTTGTGTATGTAGACATTATACGCGCATTAATTTACTTGAATTATATATTAATATTTATTACATTTGTATGTGTGTGATGTATAAAAATAAATTAATATACATCACATATATATGTGTGTGTATGTTATATATTAATTTATAATTGAAGATATTGTTTTAAGAAATATTTAACAAAAAGTTTCTTAATGATATAAAGAATTCGATCACTTCTTATTCTATAATTAATATATGTATATATGCATGCATGTACGTACAGTACTTAACTTTGAAAAATCCTGACAAACCAAATGTTCTCAGTCAACTGTTATTGATCCAAATTTCCAAAATTGCGTAATTTTTTCTCTACCTTTCCCTTTAAAATTCTTTCGTTATGTGAGAACACTTTTATTCAAAAAGACATGTATTTTATATTTGGAAATATATTACCCGATGTTATTAACATATAAATATAATTGCCTGCTTTTGTTAGAAATACTGAAAAAAAAATATATAACAAGCACATGAATAGTATTTATTGTACTATTTTATAGACTAATAATGAAATATAATTTTAATTAACAAAGGTTACATAAATTAAACTTTTGTATGTCCTTGTTTATAAATTTTTATACAGTTGTTTAATATACGTATTAATTTTCTTTAGATAGAGTCATATTAGAGATCAACTAGTTATTTTATGTCTTCTTGAATTTCTCGAAAGAGTAAATGATGGTTATAGGTAGGAAAATTGTAAAAGTCTATCAAATTGTTAAACCCATATAATCTTTTAGTACGTAATGTTATATTTGTCTTATATCGTCCATATGTTTATTGTAAAAAGTTATTAAGAGACAAGTCAAATATGATTTATCCGATAATTATTATAAATAATTGCGGGAATAGAAATACCAACCAGTTATAAAAACGGCGAGAGCGTGAGAGTGCGAGAGAGAAAGCGAATTCTTGGAAAATCTGTACATCATGTATAGTTGAAGAGTATACAAAAAATAAATGTTTTAAAGGTTATTAGTTAGTTATTTCACATAAATTATCCCTATTCTCTTTTCCCATGCATCATCATCCCATTTTACTCCCATCTGTTGTCATTGTTGGCAGCATTAGAAATAATATCATTGGCAATAACAATGTCAATTCGTATAAGAAAATTTAATAACAAAATGAATAGATAAATTATTAATAGTATCCATATGATTTTGTGTTTCAGGTTATAAAACATCAAAATCATGGTAATATACATGGCTGTAGTCTTATTTTATTTTGATTCATTATTATTATTATTATTAATAAATTTGTAATCAATTTCTATCTATGAGAGAAGTATAGTATCAGCAGTATTAAAATGTCTATATTATTTGTGAGCTAATATTATTTTTATATGTAAAGTTAAATAACTAATTTGTTTAAATTTTAGTTTCATTTGAAATGTTTAAACTGCTAATACATACTTTGCAGGTACATGAGATTTTTCCTTGCATTTAATTGAAAATTATTGATGCATTTAAAAAAGATCACGCACAAAGTACATAAGATTTTTATATTAATGCTTGTTACAATGATGTTCACAGTGTACTAATGGACACTTGATGTGTGCTGGTTGCTTCACTCATGTCCTCGCAGATGCCAGGCTACGAGATGAATTGGCTACCTGTCCTAACTGCAGAATTGAAATCAGCAAAACATCTGCATCTCGAAATTTGGCAGTTGAAAAAGCGGTATCTGAATTGCCTGCAGAATGTCAATACTGTGCCAAGGAGTTCCCGCGAAATTCTTTGGAACGTCATGAAGAAACCATGTGCGAAGAAAGGTAATTATGTTCAAATACTACATTGCTATTTTATTAAATAATAACCATTTATTTTTTTTTTATTTTTTAGGATATCAAGTTGCAAATACAGTAGGATTGGTTGTCCATGGCGAGGTCCAAACCATGAAGGGCCAGAACACGAAGCACACTGCGCTCATCCTCATCGCACTGGAGCAGATGTTATGGAAGCTTTACGTGACATTGATGCTCGTACTTTAGAAGAACGTAGGCTCTATGACAATGTCTTTGATCTTTTGTCCTACGAAAAAATCACTTTCAATGGTCTGTATATGTCATTCATTAATATTTTCATACAATTCTTCCACATTTTATTATTTCCTTTGAACAATTTATGTATACATACATACATACATATATATATTATTTAATATTTATTCATCTAGCAATATTTATTATATTTTAATACTTTTAATATTTTTTTAGATCTCCCTACTGTGACTAATCAAGTACCCTATTGTTCATTTTTGTTACTCTCATTCCTCATAATATAGGGTGTCACGAAAAATCCGAAAGTATAAAGAATTTAATTACTTGTAGATTTACAAATGAAGCCATATCGTACTGATGAATTCGTTCATAAATTGTTTTACGAAACATCTCGTTTCACGGCATTCAATAATCAATGGGTTGTGAAAGCAAGGATTAATAATAGTCAACGTGATCCTACTCAAAGTTCTGAACGGGACATAACTTATCAAGTATCTATTAATTATCACACAACTAAAACGTCTACATATTTTGTAATATGAAGAAACAATTACAAATAAGTATTCATTTCTTTTATAGTTGATCTTGAAAACAAAAACAACCTATCCACTACCCTTGCATTATTTGATATTGAAAGGACCTTTCGGTGATATGAAAGTACAGCCAAGAATTCACAGATTTGAGTTCACGGAACAAGATAACGAAAGTCCATATTTGCCTATACCATTACCAGATACAGCAGAGTGCAATAGACTTCTTGCTGCAAAAGCAATTAGTTTCAGGTGAGCTACATTGTAGAACTGATCATGATGTCCAATTAATTTATTTCAAACGTAACAATACAGATTCCAGTGAAATACTTTTAAGAGAGAGTTTTTTTTATTATTTTAGGTTAATAATGTTCCTGGCATCTAAATAAGAATATATTTGTTATCGTAATCTTACGACAACAGAATGCGATAACTCAATTTCTTAAGTATAATTATAATGAAAATGTAGATCACAAAGAGTTAGAACCATTTATAGTAATAATAATGATAAAGCTTATAATATGATTATTAAAAAACCAGATGCTAATAACATTATAGCAAGCAAAAGTATATAATTGAAAAAAAAAAAATAAGTTATTAATTAAAATATAATCTAAGGCAATATTATATAGCAGATATTTGAAGATAGAAACAATTTAAGAAAATACTTTTCTTGAATGTTTTTCTTCCTGCTGAAATTTTTGAATTATGTGTGTTTGTAAATTCTAAAAATCAAAGAAAGATATAGTTGGAAAATCATGTAGAATCTTGTTAACCGAGTCTATTGAATTATATTCATGACTAAAAAACAAAAAGTACATTTCTAAAGTTAGTTTACTTAGAACTACTGTAGTGAATGTCACAATGAGTTTGTTATCATCTTAATTCACGATTAGTAAACAAAACTTAATATATAGATTCACTTATTTATATACTAAGTGTTGTTGATGTAAAATCTTATATTATTGTAATTATATACATTTAAATAAATTTATTATAACGATAACGAGATCATAAATTATGTGCGTATTAATGTACCTGTTCGTAATAACAGGAGAAAAAAGAAAAAAAAGTTCTTGTTACAGTTGTGTTCTTTAGACAATGGCCTAACAAATATTTGATTGTGAAAGAAAACAAATATTCGACTAAGCCTTTCGTAAGATTTGGCGTAATAATAATATATATATATATATATTTTTTGAAGAGCCGTTAGAAGATGATAAAAAAAGAATTCCTTTATTAAATAGATAAGCGTGCTCTACGAAAAAGTATGTAACAATCGTAATGTTATTGATAAAGTATAAACTACCTTGTATCTTGTAAATGGACATAATATTTTAAATCGAATAATAAGATCATTTTCAATCAGCTTCAAGCATTTAATCGGGATAGAATCCAACTAACGTAAGTTATTTTTCACATAACAATGCATAGCACCTAAATACGTATTCACCTTATACAACATAAATAAGATATTTACTTTCGTTCGATGAAAACACATGATAGAAGCACGCGCTCAATTACTAAACTTTTATCCATCCTTTTCCTGCTTGTAATAAACAAAATGAAATTTGTTTTTTTTAAATGAATGTGCCAAGTGTTTCCTGGTTGGATGAACGTGTTATCGTACGATTTTATTTACAACGCTGTCATTGAATTGTCGCAATACGTCACGAAGGTTTATTTTATATAAGGAGCAGCTATTGGTAACTCAGTTTAGTAACATTTGCGGATTCTTCTCGGTAACACTCTCAGGTGTAACTCGAGGCATCTTAAACGAAATTTAACGAAAGTTTTCATACGTCTAGTGCAATTAAAAAATTCTACTCATTCAGTACATATCCATTGATTATTTAACAGTTTATAAAGTTGAACGATATAGCGTACAGTTAATTCATAAGTCAGATTTAGAATATTTTTATGTTGTGTGTGTAATCAGAACGACGAGCAGGCGTGTGCAACGTGAGAATTTTTCGATAATAAAAATAATATTGAAGATATTGAAAGTTTCTCTCTCTCTCTCTCTCTCTTTCATTGTCAGTCTCGTTTATTTTTATATTAGAAAGACGTCGATTGATTTTGATATATATTTTTTCTTTTTCATTGCTGAGATTAATTTTTATTTTTTGTTATTTGATGTCGCTGTACAGTTCCATTAGACAATGTCATCAATGTATTTCTTTGACAAGGTAAGAATACTACACTACTTTTTCTGTTAATTTGATTCTTCACTTCCTACAACTCTATTTTTGGCTTTATCTAATTTAATTGACTATACCTATAATACCCGGGTGGTCTAATAACTATTATTATCTTAAATATCTCTGTTATTTTTAATTTTAAGAAAAAAGAACAAAGTCACTTTATTTCAAATATATAATATATAAGAAAAATAATAATAATATATTATTGCATTTGAGAAAAAAATGTATGTCGATGAAATAAGAACAAAATCATGATTCACTTTTGAAATAGCTGTATTACGAAAAACAATTTCATGTGTATTGTGTTGATCAGCTGATCCTAAAATTGTAACAATATGGCGGCTGTTTTATACATAGTTAAATAGCATTGACAAGTTTGGACAAAAGCCATTTTTAACTTTTAAAACGTAATGACAATATATTAAATTAAAGTGATTAAGATTTTTATTTTTTCTAATATATATTTAAATAACTTTAAAATTATAAAATTTCATTCTTATGAATATTAAGATATAAAGTTGTTTGAAAAATGTGTCAAATCTGTGTATGTTCTACATACTTCTGTTCATACATAATTCTAATTTGTAATATAATTTAATAGACGATAAAAATAATTAATATTAAATATTTGATATCCTTTTGAATCAGACAATTAACAGATAGCGCAGTACATAGAGGTGCGCAGAGAAGTGTAAAAAATTTGAAGAAAAAGTTTTTGTTGTCCATAAGAAACATAAGAAAGGAAGACATGTCGATGCAAAATCAATCAAAACTATTAACACTATTGAAAGATTATTTAAATAAATTTGGTTATGAGAAAAGTCTTCAAGTTATTTTATCTAAATATTGGGTCGAACTGATACAAAAGATAGAATATACACAAGGAAATACTATTCGAAAATTATCATTGGTCAACGTTCAAAAACAATCAGATAAAATATTAAAAGGAGAGGAAAGTAAAATTGAAACATCTAAGGATCTTACTCTAATGACAGAACAGGAAAAACAATTCAATGGAAAGACAATCGATAGTGAAAAGCTTATGCAAAAAATGATAGAAAGATCAACATTTCAAAAGGTATATATTATACAAATAATTTATTAAAAATTATATGCTCAAAAAAAAATGATTTACGTAAGAAGATCCTATTAATTATTTACTTTTTTTGTCGCAGGAAGATGTTAAGTTGAATGCTTCTAATGATAAGTTCAATTTGAAAGAGCAATCTTACACAATACCACAGATTATCACTGCTTTAATTTTAAAAATGACAAGTAGAACAAAAGAGAGTAGTTTAGTGGCTACGTCAAAGTGGAAAGTAAACATTAACAGTAATATTCCAAAGCATAGTATTATTTCTCGAACACGATATTTATTGAATAGTATTGTAATAGCTAAATCGACTGCATCAAAATGGAGAAGAATTGAAGATTTATTGACTCACATTGATCAGTATCCAGAAGCTCGACATTATGCGATTACGGAAGGAGCATTAACCACTTTACTAAGAATACGACAAAAAACTCATGATGAGCAAATTAAAGGTTAAATAATTTTTAAATACATTGACTTTATTTTAAATATATATATATATAAAATACCTATTATTGTATTATTGTCTTTTTTTTTTTCATATATAGCATCTATCAGAGAATCATTAGCAATAATGGGTTACGTTGATCCTCCAATTGGACGTGGAATTAGAATCCTTTCGATAGATGGAGGTGGAATTCGAGGTTTACTAGTGATACAAATGTTGAAAAAATTGGAAGAATTAACTGGAAAAAAAACGCATGAAATGTTTGACTATATTTGTGGTGTTAGTACTGGAGCAATTATTGCCTCCACTTTAGGTATGTAAATATTCCTTGTTTTTTAACTTATTACGTTTTCTATAGAGATTAATCTCTATTTTTTGAAATGTAGTCGTACCAAAGGAATCGGATGAAGGTATTTGCAAGTAATCCTAAATTTCTGATATGCATTCCTCTTTCATAGTTCACATTATCTTTTAAATAAGATTTAATATCAAATTATTGTTTTAGGTGGTCTTAAGAGGAAGTCGTTAGATGAAATTAATGAACTGTACAAAGATTTAAGTATTAAAGTATTTACGCAGAGTGCCATAAAAGGAACAAGTAGCTTAATGTGGAGTCATGCGTATTATGATACAGCGTTGTGGGAGAAATTATTACGAGAAACAATAGGCGATAAACTTCTCATAAAAACAAATCGTGATCCAAATGCTCCAAAAGTATGTTCATCTAACGTATTGCTTTAATAAATATTTATAAATGAGATTTTTGTGATCTATCCAAATTGTTTTAGTTCTCTGCTATATCAGCTGTAGTTAATCATGAACGCGTAATGGCATATGTATTTCGAAATTACACATTGCCGCATAAAGTTGAAAGTCAATACATGGGATCGCATAAACATAGATTATGGGAAGCAGCAAGAGCCTCTGCAGCTGCTCCTAGCTATTTTGAAGAATATAAACATGGAGAATGCCTTCATCAAGATGGAGGTAATTTTCATATGTGCAGTGAAAATAATATAATATTATAAGATATATAGGGATTATGATCATTTTTAGGTATACTAGTAAATAATCCGTGTGCAGTAGCAATACACGAAGCTAAACGATTATGGCCAAATAATTCGATTCAATGTGTCATTTCACTTGGCACTGGAAGGACACTTAATAGAATTTGTGATAATGATTCCACGTCAGGAGAAGTAGCTATTTCAAGTTGGAAAGAAAAATTCTATAAAATATTGGATAGTGCTACTGATACCGAAGGTAAAATATTAAAACAACCATTAGGGGTACCACAAAGTCTTTTCATGTTTTAAACACTTCAGTTTCTATAGCTACAGTATGGGTTCTTAATTTTTGTTTGGAATTAATTTAAATTCCAGACAAGTTATTAATATAATAACAATTGAACTGATTATTGCATTATTAAATGTCTTACCTTTTTCATTATTTTCATTTGGAGTTTTATACTAAAAATGAAATGACTTTTAGGTAATTTCAAAAGATTTTAGAAAGATTAATTTTCTATAATTTGTAGTATTTTGGATTATTCGAAATTAATTTATTAATAATCTTTTAGCTGTGCACACAATGCTGAACGATCTTTTACCTAACCACATATACTTCAGATTCAATCCGTATCTTACTGAAATGTTATCTATGGTAGAAATAAGACCAGACAAAATAAATCAATTAGAGCAAGATGCACAAATATATATACGTAGAAACGAAGAAAAATTTGAAAAGGCTGCTGTTGTATTATCTCAATCAAGATCAATTCAACAGAAGTTATTAGATTGGGTTACGTTACAAAAGAGAATAGCTGGTTTTTAAAATAAATTAATAATAGCACTTAGCATTCTATAAAAAATTACATCTTCACGAATATTTATTTTGAGTAATGCAAATGCTATTCATAAATGTGACAATTATTTTACTTAACAATTATGATTTTATAATCATATACTGTAAACATTTAGTTTTCTATATATATATGCTTAAAAGAATATATTTGACATATTATTACAATAGAAAATCTATCTATCGCTAATAATTTAAATATTATTTAGTTATCGTACCTATCCAACTGTGATACATATCTTTCATGTAGACTTCGGTAGAAGAAAGTATTATTAATATATAAATATTTTATTTATGTATATGTACAAATAATATAGATATACATACATACATAAAATTATACATCCAATATTTAATAATTAAGGAAATTTTTCAATTTTTAAATGACATAAATGAATATATTAAATTATATTTTAATTATATTAAAATAACAAAATTGCGTGTTAATTTGTTTATATTGTATTTTTTTAAATGTTTTATTTAACTATATTTTACATAAAAGTTGTAATGTACTCTTGTAATATACAGGTTGTCTCACAAAGTCGCTTTACTAAGAAAAGAAAAGAAAAACTAAAAACTAATACTGATTAATTAAAGAATTACAATATTGTGTTTTTTGTTTAAAATCATATAATTCTAGTTAATTATTCCAGTATTAGTAGAATAGAATGGTTTCACGATGCTAATAATAAATATCTGATGGAAAAACATTGTATAATTTTTCAGTTTGATAAAGCGAATCTTGGAGCATCCTGTATATATATTGTTGTTTGCTTATATTTGGATTTGGTAACTATTTTTATTAGAGAAGTATTATTAATATGAATATTTAATGATTAAAGAAACTTTTCAATTTTTAACTGACATAAATGTATATACTAAATTATATTATAATTGTATCAAAGTAACAAAATTGCTTGTTAATTTATTTATATTTTACCTTTTTATAAATTTTTGTATAAATTCAAAAAAGAGCCAAAATTAAAACGGTTTACTATATATAAGTATATATACCCCGTGTGGCCGCTAAGGGTTTATGTATCGTATGGCATTGGTTATTCTCAATATCACCAGCATTAAATCAAGACAACAAGTTCCGCCCAATGTGGCATTTATACTTTTCCTATAAAAGGAAAGCATTTAATGGCTTTAGTGTAATTTGTTTTTGTTTTTCTTCAATGCCGTATAACACTAACAAAAATTAATATATCCTGGCAAAAATTTATTCTAAAGATGTTTGAAATATTATTTTGTAGAATATATACACATGTCATTGGCTTCCAATTATTTCGATCATCTATTTAGCTTTGTTCTGATTCTACCTATTGAAAATCGGCCCGAACTTTTCGGACAACCCAATATTATATGATAAAAAATATTGCATCATTATACTTGTGCAATTTTGCCAAATATGCTTGATAAGGGAGTTCCTAATAGATCTTTTGGTAATCTTGGTACCAGGCCTTTCATGGAAGCCCATTGACCCTCGCAAAGTTCATGGAACGTTAGTCGTAATAACAATTTTCCTCCCATAGTACCAGGACCTCTACATATTACTCCAGCTCCAAATTCCCAGGATTTTGAATTGTCACCGATATTAATTTCCCCTATACTAGAACTATTTGTAATGATTAAATATCTTCTTTGTAACCATGTTGCCAGATAAGCTGCCGAACAGTCGCAATGCCAAGGATTTCGTTCTAATCGAAGCTGTCGTATAGTTAATAAACCATCTAGAATTCTTGCTGGTAAATAGGACAGATAATTGGCCTCGAGTAATCTGAAAATTAATACCCATTTATATATTTTACTTATTTTTCAAATGTTATAGAAATAGTAGAATGAAATTACTTACAATTTTCGTAGATTCGGAGTGTCCTTGAATAATTCTGGATGCAATAGTCTTAAGCGATTGGAATGTAGAAAAAGAGAAGTTAGATTGTTTAATCCACGGAACGTGTTTTTTGATAGGACTTCTATACTGTTAGCGTATAAAACCAACCTTTCCAAAGACATGACACTATCGAATAATCCCGGTGTCAATGTTTTGATGTAATTTTGTCCTAACTGAAGTTCTTTCAGTGATATTAATCCATCGAATGCGTAAAGATTAATCTAATAAATGATAGTAAATGATTTTTAATTCGAGTATAAAAAAACATATGGATTATCCAGAAAGTTCAGTGGTTTTTCACATACAGCAGATATGCAGATACTAGTTTGAAGTTAATACTGAATAAGGAAAGCCAAGGTTTGGACTGATTGAAAAGATTTTTCGTAATCGCTTATGTTCAATACGAGAGTCGTTTAACAAGTCAAGTCTAACAGAAGAGTATTTTTTGTCAAATTAATTATATTTTTCAATATAATTTCTTTTTAAGTTGATACATTTTTTGCAATGATGTTTCAATATTTTTAACTCGTCTAAATATTTGTATTGGGTTGCATCAAGGTTACCGGATATCGATTTTATTATACTCTTGAACCTTTTCTCAGAAAAAAACTGCCGAACTCTTTCCAAATAATCCAATATTTATTTGAAGAGAAAAATATTTACATGAGTCAGTCTATTGCCTGATAGTTCGAGTGTTAGCAATTGTTCAAGTGAGGAAAACAATTTATCTGGTATTTCAGTCAATAAATTGCCTCTCAAATTCAATTCCTCCAATGAAATTTGTTGATGGAAGATGTCAGCTGGTAATTTAGCCAATCGATTGTCGTCGAGTTTTAGACACTTTGTGTTAAGAAGATCACGAAAAACGCCACTTTGAAGGGTGGTAAGACGATTATGTGAAAGTAGAAGTTCTTCCAAGGTTTTTAATCCATGAAAAGTGCCGTTCGGTAAATACGATATAAGATTGTTGGAAAAATCGAGCAATACTAAGACGTTATTAGCTATGAACAGACTCTCTGGTAAAGTTTGCAATCTGTTCGATGATGCGTCGCTGGCGAAAAAGATAAATAGAAAACCATATAAATGTTCGAACATTCAAATAGTTCTATTATATTAAACGATTCAATAACTATTGTCACCTTAAACTTAAATATCTGACAAACAGGGATAGTTTGTATGTATTTTTCTTATTAATTCTCATTGTATTGGGAAATGCATTTTTTGGAATATCGTCGATAAACTTATCGAACTCACAGAATACGTAGATTCCGCACCTTAACAAATTGATTTTGGTGCAGTTCTCTCAACAAGTTCTTGCTAATTCTTAGATGTATTGCACTGTGCAAGGAAAAAAAAAGGTTCAATGGCAGATGCTCGATGTAGTTACCGCTCAAGTCTCTGTAAAGCTTAAAACTCGTTTATTCCAGCTCTGCGATTACATCTGATTAGTTTGGTCTTATATGGTCTAGTATGGTTAACACTCACAATTGATTTAGTTGGGTCATATCCAGGAAAGTATCTCTGTGTAGTGCTGTCATTTGATTACTTCCCAAATCCCTAAAATATAAGATAATATTGTGTGACATAATAAGACAATATTTGTCAATATTAGAGTTCCTTACAATTTTAAAATATCATTAGGAACCACTTGGGAAGGTGGGACGTCGAGTAATCCATATCTCCAACAGGAAAGAGATTTAGTTTCTGGTACGCACTTACATGGTCCTTCGGCACAAATTTCCCAATCCTCGTTCGTTGTACCGATTTGCCAAACTGAAGTCAATCGTAAATAAACGATGATATGAATAAACAAAAAATATTTTAATTTAACCTTTTTGTGCTAATTATAAAAAGATCTAATTTAGAAAAAGTTATTTTATCTAATAAGAATAAAATATGTGCAATATATCACGCATAAGAGTGAAAACAGGGAGACACGAGGATAAGCTGAAGAATGGAGAGGGAAGCGAGCTAGCGAGGAAAGAAATAAAACTTCTATTCTTCAATAGAGAATCATTTTTGGGAAAAGGTGCAATAGATATTTTATGCAACTTCATCGCGTATTTTTGGAAAAAATTCTTTTTATAAACCTTATTTATTACGTTTTCTTGAAAAACAATTAACTACTGATTTGACGAGGTTTATTATTGGTGCTTTTATCTTAATTGCTTTAATTTAATGGAATGAAATTAGATTGAAAAGTACATTTAGTCTCACCTGGTTGTTCGACAGCCCTTAATCTTCTTTCGAGGCTGGACAATCGACTTTCGATATCTTCGAGAAGAATATCCGAACTTTTGGACGTATGGGAAAAATCAGGATTCGTACAAGTATTCCAATCTTGCGGACAACCGCTTGTCTTATAATATAATAACAAGTTAAACATATAAAGTATCTTGAAGAGCGTAAAAATCATTTTTACGAGAGACGATCCACGCGACATTGTTGTGAGGACAAAGAATGAGCCTTTAAAGATCGTGCTTCATCATCATCCATCATTGTGTGTGTGTGTGTGTCACATCCTCATTAGAGTGTTTATTAATAAGAGAGATAAACACTCATTACGTTGGTGATTGACAGACAATAGGTTTAAATAAGCACGAACATAATCGTTGGTGCTCGTCAAAATAATCATCATTTTAAAACAACTCGTTTATGATACTTATTATACTCTTACTATACGCACGAAAGATATTGCAACTATTAATTTCATATAACGTGTTATACAGGGTGTTTCATAAATATGTGTCAATAGTTTAGGGGGTACATCTACACTAACCATATTTAAATTGCGGTCCGAAATATTTACTTGTGAATATTCAAAACTTGAGTGACTCTGCTAGATCAATTACCTTTATAAACAATACTAAAGATCATATTAATGTTTAAATATTATTCTATGACCTTTCTTTTCTACTCAGCGATTTTGAATCGGCATTCATGAACGATAAGAAACGGACGTATGTGGCCTGCAAAGAAAAAAGCTTGAGTACCTCTGATTATACGCTAAAATTTGTAAAAGATATATGAACATAAATTCGTTATACCTTAGCTTTCGAGTTATAAATGAATAAAGATTCCGAAGTGACCGCCTCATACCAAAATGACTTCCGGAACGTAAGGTTCAAAATAGTTGAATATTTCCATCCATTTATAAGAAAGGTTGTAGAAACTAACGGCGGACACTTCAAACATCTTCTATATAACAACCATTTATGAAACATCTAATATAATAAAATATGATAATTTTCCGAATGAAAAAATTGAATTTCCTTTAATTTCGAGCATTAAATTGTTGTCTTTATCACTTCAGCTTTTTTTACTTTCCTAATTGCATTTTATTTTATTTTTCAACATTTATATTTAATACATATATTACAAATAGCAAAATTGTCTTGAAGAAAATAATAAAAAAATCTATTATGTGAAAAATGTTTTTATTTCAAAAGATTTCCTATAATACGAATTCATAACGTATTAACCGCGTTATACCGAAGTATACTGTATTATAAACTTGTTTATAGACGACCCATTGATAACTTGTAGATAATATAAAATTTGTATTGTGTTTCATATATTCATAATTATATATTATTTATTTTAGGTATACATATTATATGACATAAGTTGGTAACTAAGATTACAAACAAATAACAATGACAGCATTCATGAAATTTATAAAGCTTCTAAAGAAGTATAAGCCCGGAAGAAAAGTTAAAAGATAATATTAAATTTGTAGAGTGTTGGCAAATATCGAAATAAAGTAAATGACATGTTCAGTTATCCTTATTTTATGACAATCTTACTCCACCAACTCCTGTACACTCGCCTCTGCTTTTCATAACCAATTCTGTTGATAATGAAAAAGAAAATAAACTTGTTAAGTTTAATCAAATTATTATGGCGGTTAATAATTTAAATCTATATAACTTAAAAATAAATTTTGTATATATATGTTACCGTTAAAGCCGGAAATCAGTCATTGCTAGTAATTCCTCGGCATTGTTATCAATGCAAAGGGACTTTTTACAAAGTTTAAACTTAGAAGAAAAAAAGAACAACAGATAAATTACATTTATAATAAACTCACTCGATCCTGTTTCGCAGTTGTAAACTTCCATATCACATTCAGTACAAAAGTCCCATGATTTACCATAAGGATCGGAAGGATCATGAGCACAAATAGGATCATAAGGGCCGCAATCTTTAGCACATTCTTTCTTGTTTTTTTTCGCCTCCTTAGCGGCCTTTATAGCATCCTTTACATCCTTAGACGCCGTAGCACCTTCCTTTATCTCTTTTGGCTCTTTTATTTCTTTTAACGAAATTTTCTTCGTATCGTTAGGAAAAGCCTCCGTTCGTTCAGTGAACCCGAACAGAATGGTGAATGCAAGTGCTGATTAAATAATAATAAGATGAGGATATTGTCGCGGATGTCACATTTCAAAAATAAACAACAACGGTTTTGCGTATTTAAAGTACCTATATATATATATATATGAAACTAATTTAGTATATCAAATTTTAGATGCAGCAAATAATCTTTTTTTTATACTTTTGACATTGATCGGAATATGATACTTTCAGTTAATGGCAGCCTTTTTGCGTTCTTAAAGTATATACCAAATGAATGTAGAATATTAAATTTTAATTGTATTATAGGTAATTATTTTCGACATATATGACGAAGACGTGTGTCAGTACTAGGAAAATAGACAAAATCTAACATCTTTTAGCATATATTTATTTTATTTGTACATCCTTTCTCTTTTATTGATCTTTTATTATATACTTGTAAGATTCTCGTGAGAAAAATTGGAGTGACTGGATCGGGACTCAAACCATGAATCTTTCGCTTTCTGGGCGATTCCTTTTATCCATTAACCTATCCAGGGCCCACCGTCCAATCCTTTCACGAATGCTTATTTAACTATTTGCCATGGACGCGCTCGTCTCACATACTTTTTACAATTTGATTCTTTATCAGAATGTAGACAAAAAATTAGACAATGTTTGGTTACCATTACACATCCGTTCCCTAATATAATTTAACTATGCAGAAGAAATTAGTTCATAGAATGTATATTTTTCGAGTTATTTTGAAGCGTAGGGTTCCGTGACTCACTCACTGTTATAATACATATATTAAATATGAGCTTACAGTTTATTATTTTTATATATGTGGATTTCGAATGAAATATAGTTCTTTATTCCATCTTAAACGATTTTTTCAAGACATAAAACGTATTATCCATTTTATTATAGGAAACGTATTTTTTATTACATGGACTTACTTTACAAGATTGTTTCTATTGTGTAAAAACAAAATTAGGTGTTCATTATTTTGGTATTTACTTTCAATATACAAAAAGACTTTCATCAATTCAAAGCATCCCATTGGAAAGAAAAAACATATCGAATTAAAAATATTTCGCTAATGTCGTGGTATTACGTTAAAGAATTGAAGATAATATACAGCGTCGCGAAAGGAGGAAGAGCTATATGGCCTTAATTCGTATCTACTTTTATTGAATGATTGCTCCTTCATTGAAATCAAGGATCATCTTAGATCGAGATCATCGCAACTACTTTTGTTAGTAAAGTCACTTTGCTCAAGGACTTTCACAGATCGACTCACATTCTTTTTGCTTTTGAGCCACCGTTCACGTGACAAAAATGATAGAAAACAACCGATATTAAACAAGTAGATAATCCATTCTATGCGAAACGTAATTAAGAATGAAAGAAAAATATTTACATGTAAATCGAACAAATATAACAATTGTAGAAAATAAATTTTGAAAAAAACTTGCATCATCGAGATTGAATAAAATGAATAATATGTATTATTTATTAAAGCAAACTTTTTTCTAACTGTCTGCAAATTGATCGTTTTATACTTTTACAATTATATGATTTTTGTCGGTTTTTATATGAAATAAATTTTTATTGAAATGATATCTATTGTAATTTTACATTGTATATTATTAAATGAATCGAATCACAGCAATACGATATAAGCATAGAAAAATGCAAGTTCAACAAGCTTCTCTTGTTAATCGACTCACCCAATAGAAAAGCTAATTGCATCGTGTTTTCTTTCAATGGGAGTTACTTCTCAAAAAAGATGTTTATTATCCAATTCGGCTTACCGTTCCAGCTCACTTTCAGATGGTTATTGAAATGAGACTGACACGACGTTATACTCCGCTACGACATTTATAACCTATTCCCTGGAGCTATCCCCCCCTGAAAAAGTTTCAGATGATCGCATCAAGACTGCCATTGAGCTAACTACGTAGAGAGCATATGTAAAATGATATGGGAACGACGATAATCGTTCTTCGTACTTAACTTTGCATTAACTAGCCGGCCAAACGAAACAGAAACTTCTCTTTATTTCTGAATTATCTTATAATTTTTTTATTATGTGAACAATTAACGAGATCCGAGTGTGTCGGATTTTTTATATTACTTTCGAACACACACGTACGCACACACACACACACACACACACACACATGATCTATTTTATTTGAAATTTCATAATAATTAAATAAATACATATATAAATAAATAATTGGAAACTATAAATTAGGTACCATTGGCAATGATCAACTTTTTCTAACGACCACGTTATGATTCATCGTTTTGATAGTCGCTTTGATTCGACAATTTCCTTCTCTCTTTCTTCTAATAAGTAACTTTTAAACAACTCTACGTAATTCTTCCAAGATTCCTTATAAAAGAACGCTCTTCGAAGAAGACACATCGTCGTTGTGCAAACCTCGTCGTTTTTAGCTTTATTTAACGCTGTATATTTCTCAACGGAGCTCATAACCATTTCGGTTAAAAGATTTAGATCTGCGTTAGCTGAAGAAAGAAAAGAAATTAAATGGATGGCGATTCGAACGTATTATTTATAAATGTGTGATTTATAAATAATTACAAATCACTAGTATAGTTGTAGTATTAAAACGTGTATTTTGAAAAGGTTTCTTTTTTTTAAATTTATACTGTAACCCAATCTGAATTTTATTTTATCGCATGCAGTAATTCTTAATGAACATAATTTGTACGCTTCATTTCAAGGATTATTCATAATTATAGAATTATGTTAAAGAGCAGTTTGGACATATAACATAAATGAAAGTTTGATAAAATAATGTGAATCATATATTTATACATAAAGTATTCTAATATTGAATCACACTATACTACCATAGATTTTATATATATATATATATATATCCATACTATACTACTTCGATTATTAATTAAAAAAATGTGATAAATATGGCAATGAAATTCGATATTATCTTGGAAGCTGTAGATAGTAGTTTTCAGAGTTATATTTTATACACCATTGTTATATTGCAAAAAATATGTTATAATATGTTAGCAATGTATCAAGGTTAGCACAAACTTCGTTAACTAGAAAATAAATCCGTAAACCGACAAAAGATCAAGTATCCTAACCGGTTAAATTTATAGATTAACGCTTATTCGTAATGAAAAAGAAGCATTTATTCGTCGGTGGGTAAAAGGAAAATACGTAGGATTAGATTGAAAAAGAATGTAGACTTACACCCAAAATAATGACGACCTTCTTCTTCCTCGGATTCATCTTTATTTGGCTTCTTGATAATCTCTAATTTAGGTATGAAAAGCAACAAACAAATCACGGCGATGAATTTGACGATCATCTTGAAAAGAACCAACTTCAAGAGGATCTTTGCGAGGGTAAAAGCATTCAATTTAAGAGCAAATGGCCAGGAGAAGTCGATCTTAGGAAATTCAATAATAGATGAACTGGGATATCCGTAAGGAGTACCATAATTCATGGCTGAACTATCGTACCCTGAAAACAAAAAGGAAAATTCACGATGTAATTATGTCTGTAGAAAGAAAGATAGATAAGTAGAAAAACCAATGTTTTCCACGAAGATCAAATTAAATGTTAACTTATAATGATGAATTATAATTAAACTGTAAATGCATATGCTCTTAAAATATGATGAAACATGAAAATATAGTATCGTATATGAGCGTAAATCGAAAGGAATATTAAAGAAACAAAAAGTATATTTTATTTCGATAATACGCTACCTCTCTCCTCACCTTGCTGATGCGACAAGTACGAGTTCCCCGGAGATAACTCATCATATAGTTGAGGATGAGCAGATACACCGTATTTGTTACTAGGTGGACCATAAGCGCTTTGAGGTGGACCATAAGCGCTTTGAGGTGGACCATAAGCGCTTTGAGGTGGACCATAAGCGCTTTGAGGTGGACCATAAGCGCTTTGAGGCGGACCATAATTGGTTTGAGGTGGGCCATAAGTGGTTTGAGGATCACTAAGATAAGCAGAGTAATCTTGAAAATTGACTGAAGACTGATCAGGCAGCGAGTAACTATCCGTAGGTTTAGAGAAAAAGTTGTTAGAACTTGGTGAACTATATAAGTTCTTTGTCGCCTTTGAGGAGCTTCCCAAGCCATTTGGTGGATTATATATTCCACTAGGTTCTTTCGGAGCACCGTATTCTGTCTCCGGCTTATAAACTGGTCCTTGAATGTACTCTCTTCTGTTTAGTTTTGATCTGACCGGCTTGACATCCACATGTACTACACCTTCTTTTGGATCTTTGCTAGTGTGTGAGTGTTCTAGTGCTTCAAGATAACTGTCCTTCTTAGATACAATTTTTACAATTCTCGAACTGTAATGATTTCCGCTCGATGTTGACTTTAAAGGAATTTTTACTTTCTTTAAATCTTTACTAATGTTTGGGGTATATGGAATCGAGTATTCTTCCGTTGTTAAGTCAATGTTAGATGACCGAATTGTTTGATTTTTCATATCCTGATCTTCAGAGTTCCTGGCTTCTGGCATTAAGCTCATTAGAGCGGATACGTTTCTATGATTAGATGGCACAATTTCAGTGTGTTCCAAAGAAATAACCGAGCCAATCAGAAGGAATATAATTCCAACTTTATAACAAATTCTCAATCTTTGTTTTTTTTCTGATATCATTTTGATACTTTTTCTGATTGACCTGTGGAAAACGAATGGATAAATTGAAATTTGTTTAGCAGAGTAGTTAGTATTAATGTTTCCCCTGTCTTGCCATATTAGTAGGAAGTGGGATAGCAGGAGAACATGAAAGTGTCACGCGAGTGACGTTGATGTTTCCCTTTTGAATACAAATTAACTTATTAACCGTTGTGCATAGAAAATAAGTAGCGGACCTTGTTCTTTTTTGGAAAACAATTGAAAACGATTAAATTCGTATATTGTTATCACATTCAAATAAAAACATGAAAATGAAACGAATTAACTTTAAAGAAAATATTATAATAAAAAAATATTATATATAAATAGAAATGTGTGTGCTAAACTGAAAAATAATGTAATGAGATAGAATAACTGTTAGGAAAATATTTTCCCCTATTAATTTCTTTCTTTTTTTTCGAAATTTTAAAAGCTTAGTTTAAATAAAATAAAATATGAAAAGACAATTTTTAAACATTAGTAAAAGAATTAAAAAATAAAATGAATCGAAAAATAAAATGAATTAGGTAGAAAGAAAATTTGTTACTTTTTTTCTTACAACTTAAGACACTCGATTAAAATTGAGTAAATTAAAAATATGATTTTTAAACGTTTGATAAAGGATTTAGTTAATTAATGAATATTATTTCTAATATCCACAAGAAATAAAATAAAAATATAAAAACTTTGTATTCGAAAAAGTATTCGTCAAAAATTATGACAACAGCTAAATGTGGAACTTTTACAATGTAAATTGATTGTATTGATGTCTCAGCTTTTATTATGAATATTAATTTATAAGAAAAGGATATTTTTCAAAATTAATTTACTTGTATATTTAATTCTTAATTTTGCTTATTTACATAGTATAAAATAAAGTATTATTATCTATAATAATCCTAATATGGAGTATACTTTTTATTAAATCAATTTATTTGCAGTGAATCAAAAAATAATAATAATTAGAAATGTAACTGGCATATTTTATAATCCTAATCACTTGCTGTTTAGATATATCAATTATGCATAATGTAAGATTGACTAATAAACGCATGCGATGTTTTTCTAATTGTAAGTAAATAAATGGCACAAACTGCATAGATTTATTGCATGAGCTAATAATTAAAAACTGACGATCAGATGCCATATAAAGAATTATTTACATAATAGTTTTGATAAATCAAGATTGATCATCAATATTAGAGGCATAGAAATGATTGATCACAAATATAAAAAATTGAATATTCACAAAAAATATAGAATAATCTCACCCTCGCACAATTGTTTTCTTATTCACTCGATTATTCCAAAAAAATAAATGTGTCCAAGTGAAAAAACACGAGTGAAAACTAAACTGAATCAGAAAACTCAAAAAATACTTCAAAGAGTCATTGTTCACTGCTCGATAAACGGTCGTGAATTAAAAATCATCACGTTCTGTTCGTCTATATAAGTCAGAGACACTAGGTAGGGGTAAAAACGTACCGTTTTATTAGGTTACTGATTCCAGCAGCGTTCTTGTTATCAAACTTAAGCAGCTTCGTTGTCTAGATACACGTTCAAATTTCTTTCTGCTTTCGTTCCAGAAATGTTATATTCAATACTTATTTTCGGGTTGTCGAAAGATTTTGTTTTATTGCTAGACAGGAAAGGAAAAAACAGTTGTTTCTAAAAATAAAAAGAAATAAATGTCCAACATTAGGTGACAATGAGAAAATTCTACTCGAAATTCCGTTCAACGAAAAATGATCAAGTTGAAAGGTGTTGGCCGATTATTATGTACAGGACGATACTCTCGGTAACGGTCCTGCTATATGTCGAACCTCCCACATTTATCGATCCAATGACATACTTACCTCTATTACTTCCATCATTTTGTAGTACTATTGTTTACAATCTGGATACTACCCAATTTGGTCAATGTTTCTCTTCATTAAGAATTAACAATTCTAATTGAAATATGTGTGCCATTTTCTACAAGATATTACAAACTAGTTGAAAGAAAAATTCAGTTAATAGAAGGCTTTTGTTTTCCGGTTATTCAAGAAATAATATGTGTTTTACAATAATTATTCCTTATTCTCACATCGGGGTATTCTTTATAATCCCAATAATATGTTTTTTCATGAATATTAAATTTTTTACAAGATTGTGAGATATAAGCAATACAAAAATTACATTAATGAAAAGTTTTTCATGTTTCTAATAATGAAAGAAAATCGGTAATATAAAAGGACAAGTTTAAAATATAAGGTTTTTAAGTATAAAAGTTCCTAATTTTTGCAATGATATTGTTTACAATCGAAATAGCACTTAATTTAATTATTATCTCTCTATTAACAATTAGCGATTTTATGTCATTTCCTATAAGATTACAAAATAACTTAAGAAATTCAATTCCAATTCAACTGTATGCATGTATTTTTTATTTATGTGTTTTTAATTATTACATACGGTGATGATTGATATTAAATAGATATATAATAGGTTATTATTTGCTTACATTATTATTAATACTTTATTATTTAATAAATAATTAAATAGAAATAATAATGAATTAGAAAAAAAATAATGAAATTTGTTCGATTTATTGTTTTACCACCCGAGGGTAGAGCTAGATGTTCACCCATCGATACAAGCAAAATTAGTTATCTATTAGCAATTTAATATTAGCTTCATTCAAAAAAACTGATTCCATTGTTTATTATACTATACTTTCAGAGTTATGTATTGCTTATGCTATTTTTATAAAACTACCAATCTGTTTGATCAATCATTTTTTGTTCATAGAAAGTGTTGGTAAGTTTTTATATAACTTGGCCTAATTTAGCCTTTTCGTTAATCGATGACGCTCAGTTTAGTTTCTTAGCAACCTATGTACGAGTTAAAATTCTTTTTCTCTAAATTTCTTCAAAACATTCTCTTTGTGAACTGTCTTGTACAACATAATTGTGAAACATGGATTATTCAATAACACAAACGAAGTATGTATATCGTTTAATATTATTTCCTTGCGTTTAAGATACTAAAATCCTTAATTTTACAATTAGATGGGTAAAATTTGGAGAAATTCGTGATTTCGTGTTCGTTGGAAAAGATATCCTTGCAACAGCTTCAGGTTTGCACGTTCGTTTTTTCAACATGAACACAAGGGAAAATAAAATAGAAATTTTCAACGATCAGACTAGAGGCTTCGGCGTATCAATTTTATCAGGACATCCGGTATCGACTTTCTTCTATTTCCCGTTTAGATGAATTATTAAGGTTTCTCCTAGCAGTTGTCATGTTGGAGTAACGCCGCGTTTGATAGCGTTAAACGACCTTCATTGATCTTGAAATACTGTATATCGTTGGATATTTGGTAAAAAAATGTCATATATAAAAGTACTAGTAATACGCTTTACATTGTTCTACAAAATGAATGATTCAATCGAAAAGCTTATCGTATAAACGTATTATAAAAATGACCGACGGTTAAGATTTATTTTTGTCAAAATTACAAGTAGAAATTAGTAATTTAAAGAAATCCTATGAAAGCAATATAATTAACAACGTTAATATATTGCAACTAACGTTTATAGACTGTGCCGGTATTCTCCGTGGCAGATAAACACTCTAATCCTACCATTAGAGTATTCACTTATCCAAGAATTCATAAAATATCATCCTGTACAAACGCGGAAAAATCGAACGGGTATTTATCATGTACCTTTGCTGGTACTGATTATCTTTTAGGATTGACAAGTTTTCCAAATTTTCAACTTGTTCTTTGGCTATGGCAAACTGGAGATAAATTATTTGTAATAAATACCGAACTGAAAGACCTTATTCAAACGATCGCGTAAGTATTCCTTTGAATAATTATTAACAAGCAATCAAACCATGACTATGTATACAGTATATAAAGGATAAATACGATAAGCATTCGCTTTTTAATAATAGTCCTCTCTTGTTCATGATGATAGATGTTCGCCATTTTCGCCTCACGCAATAGTGCAATTTGCCTTAATCACTGGCAAGCTCGTTGTTTATCAAATGTGCGTGTGTTCGAAGATCGTTACCTTATACCCGATCAAAATCAAATCTCAGGAAAATAAATTAACGTCCGTTTGCTGGACAATTGATGGTAATCTATTGTTCTCTGATGAATTTTGCAAAGTCTGGTCGATGAGTGCTGATGGTAGCAATCAGAACATTCTCATAGAAGGAAATTCAAAATCAAAACCGCTGAAGAATCGTTTACCTTTCATCGTTACTTTTAAAGATGGTCTACTTCTCGTGAATACTCTACTAAATGAAATAGCAGTACGTTTTATTAAATTCAGTAAAATCCCATATAACGTGAAAGATGCGTCCGATACGAATTTTGTGTTATTATGATTATATTAACATTTAAATGAACACTATTTCAAGCACGATAAATAATATTATTTTAGTAACATGTAAAATTTGATATTTTAATAATTACATAAGAGTTGCTTGCATGTACATAAGCTATTATACTTAAGATCGGTCAATGATGTATTAATAATTGAAATAAGTAAGGATTATTACTAATGAAAATTGTTGAAACACACACACACACACACACACAACTGATTATGCAAACTTTCTATTTATAGTTTTATAGAAAATGTTTTAATGAAGATTCCATTGAAATATGGCAAAAATTATGGTCTTTAAACAATAAGGAACACTCGCTTCCTCTTCGAGCAAAATCACATAATCAAAGGGACAGTGTATTGGTTTATGATGAGTGTGGACGAATAACGGAGATTAGTGTTCTAAACGATCATGTTCCACGTTTAGAAATACTTTATACGGATGACGTTAAATACAAAGAACTTTTAGCGATAGCATCACGATCAACTTATTTCGCAGCTATTGATGAATTTCAATATTTAAACATTATTGATACCTCAGCAGGAAAGATTGAGACTAAGCTCGCCTTGAAATTACACGGTCAAGGTCAGTTGACGGTAGTAAAGTTCGTTCTAATTTAGATAATATGTACTATGACTCCGAAAAATATACGGACACTACAGTATGACCAATTAAATTCGGTTAAATTCAAAGAAGACAGCAATGTTCTAGGATTAAATTTCGTTATACTGAATTGGAAACTTGGTGTTTATTAATTTGGAGATTGACTAAATACATAAGTACATAAACATATAATTATTTTTGTTATATATTTCAGTTGTTTGTGCAAAAGCACATCCCAAACTGCCGATCATTTTCACTAGCAGTATTACTGGAAATTGTTTGTTTATTGATGTCTTCACGAATACACCGAAAATTTTAACATGTTTCCACCTGCATAAAATGTCTTTAGATAAAATGACATTTTCTAGTGAAGGAAAATTCTTAGGAGTCGCAAATTCTCGTGATGGACGTATTTTTATCATTGGCAAAAATTTGAACCAGGGTGATTCGAGCTTTGTCGGAATATTCATGAAAAAAAATCAAATAAATCACTATGTAATAATAAATAATCATTCGTATATACCAGGTGTCTCGAAAGTTCTTGATCAAACGAAAATAAGTCAAAAGGGGAAGTTATTTACTACGAGAAAAATCTTGCTTTGTAGTTTATCCATTTATTAAGTTTTTAATTATTTTTTTCATTGACTTTTAACACATACCGATACATCAAGATTGATTGCGTTTAACTGACTTATTTTCCCCACAAATGTGTACAAACACATAATAAATATCTCTCTCTTTGATAACAAATAAGTTTCTTTATCGCGATTATCAATTCTAATTTAACATATTCGAGTAAATCTAGTATTTTTTTACATTCTTAATTAATTGTTTATTTATATTTATTTGTTCTTTTAACATTATATAGAATAAATTGTCTTATAAAATTGTATTCTTAGCCTGGCTACAAGAGTGATAAAGAAATATCGAATCGCTCTGTAAAAAATTCGCAGCTACTAAAATAACTTGTTTGATTTTTGTTAAAAATTCATCCCCTTCTTCAATCTTCTTTTGGTTGATTGATAACTTTTGGAACATCCAGTATAATTTTATTGTAAGATTTCAATTTATTTCGTCATATTCCACAGATAGCCGATTTTCTTATTTACGATCAAACAAATAATTCCATTAAAATATTAATCCTCCTAATTACAAATAAAAATCTTATGACAGGAAATAAATTGATATTATACGTGTGTAAACTTAGAGACAATCTCGAAAAGAAAATAGAATGTGTAATAGACCTATTAAATTCATTTAAATCTCTACAGTATGGTCCAAAAAGAAACATAGATATTATAGGTATACCATACTTGTCTAAACAATTACATCGAATGGAAATAAAGGTATAATAATCAAATTCGGGCTAAATTATACAGAAATTGACAAACTTTTAATGATATAAAACTGAGTAAATTTAATTTGTAGTGTAATTCAAAAAACAGAATATCTTCATTTCTGTCGCATATAAAATTTTCTCATGCATTCATACTCAACTATCACAAAAAGAAGAACAACATTTCCTGTAGCTTTACTTTTAAGGAAATCGTCCTTGCCTATTCTAAAAATATCCATATACACACAGTGTGTGTATATAATTCTGTTATTTACGTCTTAAGTTTCCTTCTGTTTTCTTACATTTATATAAACACTCACATGAGACAGAAAATGCTGCTTTCTGTTTAGTAGTGGATTTTTCCTATCACAATAATTACATAATTATTGTAGCTTGTGGTCATTTAAATAATTAATATAATGTCAATATTGGATTGGTAAATTTTGTCAAAAAAACAATAAATATTACAAAATGATATGACTGAATTTGAATAAAATCATTTGAAGGCTTGGTATTATTCTGCATAATGTAGCCCCTATTCATAAATAGAAAAAATTCACATTTTCAAGTCCAAAATGATCCTTTCAGAATGATTTTAACGATGTCACTCTCACAGAAGCATTACCAACGATGCATGAATTAAAAAATATTGAAGTAGACATAAATTGTGATAGTCTTATAACTTTCGGATACGATGGTCTAATCGTCATAAGAAATAGTACAAATCTTCGTATGATCTATGGTATTTTTATGGCTCATCATCGAAAGGAAAACGGTATCAGATCAGCAAAAATAATTAGCGAGACGATTATATCGCTCGGAAAAAACGGCGATCTAATAGCCAACAAATTATGGTACACATACACATACGTATCATTTTATTCACGTAGTTCTTTTTTTATTATTGTTTATCTTTTTTCTAGTCGTCGTTACGTGCAATTAGAGACAATCTCGATCAACGCTGATTCACGATTCTTCAATTCGTTCAATTTTATTTTCGAATCTAACAAATTGTATAACAAAGGACAAGACACGTGCTTAGAAAATATTCAACAAATTCAATGGGAAAATGAAATAAACGAAGAAATGTCTACTCGACATACAATTTTCTTGGAATTGAATAAACTAAAAAGCAAAATTAAACAATTGCTTGATTTAAACGAAAGAGAAACGATTCTTACACGTTTGCCGATTTCGTCATATGATTTGGATGAGGAGTATAGAAGGTATCGAATTAAAAGGGCTGATTTAGAACGAAAAGAATTGAAACGACGTTACGAGGAAGAAATCGAAGCACGAAATAAAGTTTGTCAATATTTGAGACAAATATTTTGGGATCCTGAACGCGTTCATGCTTGCTGTCTTAAATCAATATTTGGTGAAATCATTGTTGAAAATTATCCTTTAAGTATAATCAACGTCGAAATAGATGATTTTCGAATGTCCGAAGGATACTCGATGGAAATTCTTGATATCGTTTCCAGGTGATATTCTTTTTACTTTTTTTTCAAAGAAATATTTAATGATAACCATCCTTAATAAGGTATAGGTATTTATTATGGAATATCTCGTCAATTATAATATCTATATATAAAACTGTGAACAAAAATATTTGTCTATCTTATCACACAAAAACAATCATGAGCTTGCTTAATCATATTTTGTTAGTATCTCACTGGTGTTCTTCAGTCATCAAAGTCTGTTCGCCGATACATTTTTTTCTTTCTTCTTGAAACGTGCACTCAAGTTAAGAAACATACATACACGCACGCCCGTATAATCATTTTAATATTCATTGATAACGTATCAACAAAATGATGCACTTGACGCTTGGTATTTTATTTACCACATAGAATCGTACAAAAATGCAATAAACCGTCATCGCTGTTTTCTTTCATTTCCTTTCCTCGAAAATATCTCGCATTCCACAATATTATATTTATTATATTCATTTTAGGCTTTGTTGTTAACAAAATAAAAAGAAGTCATCTACGCTTAACTAAAACTAGTCTTAATTAGGTTTTTTAAAATTAGGCTCGTACAAGTTCTTAAAAAGCTACTCATATTATGATATAATATTCTTAATTGACCTAAATTTTATATTATTTTTTGGTAAATACACCTAAGAATGCAATTTTAAATTACATTCTATAATTAGTTCCTGTACCCTTTATTTATTTTACGATTCCCCTGATTTGTGTGTGTTTTTATTGCAAAACTTGTATCGACTAGGTTAAAAGAATACAAAAGTTCCGAAAGTATTGTTTCAAATAAAGAAGATGTGAATAGTTTTAAAGAGGAAAGAAGAGAAAAAAACACGAAACAGGAAACCAACTCAATAGATCGATATTACGAATCGGCAACGAATGACGAAAGATTACTCTTATCGGGAACAAGTACTCATAATTGGATTAATAACGAGACACTTAACTTAACTCACCAGCTAAAACGATCGCAAGATTTATTACTTAATGGATTCAATAAAAGTAGTTTTTTTAGAAATCGGGAATATTTGTTGATGGTAAGTAATAGGTAAGTTAATCTGATTAAGTCCGTACTCTAATGCAAATCGTGTAAAAATGTAAATAATGTAAAATTAGTGTACGAATCAGGGTTTACCAAGGGATATTGATTAAAGACCCTCTTATACGGTCGGAACGGTTCTTACAACATACAAACGGTTCACGATTTCCTACATTAGTTCAAATTTATTCCTTTTATTAAACATAATTATAAAATCAAAACTTAACTTACTTGACGAAAACTTAATTGACGTTATTCATTTTCAACAATATTTAACGATAACTCTAAGGTTATCTCTAAGTCTCTAGGTCTTATTCATTTTATAAGTCGTTAGATGAAAGTTACATCTGCATTTTTGCACTCTATATATTCTAATATATCTATATTCATTTTGATATCTTATCCAATGATCTGGGTATTTGATTGATCAGATAGAACAGATATTCAGGGGTACTTTGATACTTTAATACTCGTATACCCACAAAAGAATTCTGTTTCTTGCAGTAATCGCTTACTAGGTAATAGTCTGTGAAAATGAATTATTTTCATTTTATATATTAACTGAAATGAAATGTTTTCATTTAGAATCATTTCAACGAATGTTTTAATAAAATGAGATTATTGAAGGAACGAAAAATGGAAATAGGGAGAGAACACGAAGAGAAATTAAAACATTATACCTCCGAGATAAACGTTATGTTCGAAAAAAAGTGCACGATCGAATCTGTGACATTACCAGTCTGGCATCATTCCGAAATACCCGATTATGTCATTACAATTGAGGACAAGGCTATACCTTACATTCATCTAAGGAAAGAATCTTCTAACGATAAGTATCAAAATATCAATGAGTACAATTTACAATTGTATTCGAAAGATTATGATCTGTACAAGGAAGCTCTTGAAAGGATGATGTATGGTGTCTTAGAACTTAGGTACGTATTAGCAACACATCATTTGATCACTATCAAGTATTCTGGGTCCGCCATTGAAAAATAGATAAGTTTAAACTAGTTTTAGCTATGTATAGATAACTTTTTTAAAATAAACATATATATATATACATATTATTTTTGTAATAAATAGTTATATACATATACAAAACCAATTGATTTATTTATAAAACATTTTCAGGTGGGAGGATGAGATAAAAAACGATATTCCCAAACCTGCTTGTCTGGTAAAAAATAAGTCACCCTCAAAATATACTTCAAAAGATATAAAAGCCTTAGAATCGTATAAAAATAAAATGGAACGTTTGCAATCAGAGCGGAAAAAGTATCGATCGATTTTGGAAGCTGAAAGGATAAAAATAAATGGTGAGTAATTATTTATCTTGAATAATTAATAATAATATTAAACTAACTTAGTGAAGAATTATAATTATACGAAGTGCTTCGTCCGAAAATATCAAGGTTAAAATAACTATGAACTCAATGAGTAAATCGGCAGAAGGAGAGTAGAGGTCTAATTTAGTGGATAACTGGCAAAACTGGCGTCTAACTACAAGTAGTTAAAATATTTTCAGGTACTAATCTTTTCGGACGAAGCACTTCGTATAATTACCTCTAAATCAATCTTCTTACAAACCCACTGATTAATTCATTTAGATAAAATAAGAAAATGCTTTATGTCATTTGATGAAAAACTGAAGAATTTCAAAAGGAAAAAGATTGCTATAGATTCCTCGATTCTCCAAGAAAAACTCCTAAGACTTTATGAGATGCAAAGAATTCATCATATACGCGACGAAGTTTTTCAAATCACTCATTTCAAAGAGAATACAATTGCGAAAGACGCAGAAAAAGTGCAAAAACACGCGCAAGATTGTTTAACTTTTGAAACGATTGTTAAGGAGTTGAAAAATCGATATGAAAATCTGATTAAGCGTGAGAAAGCCCTCGAAGGAAAGTTTCATGCTGAATTTGTTGACCTTAAGCAACTAATAATCGAACATTTGTTAAGGCATTACAAAAAAAGACCGAGGATCGGTTATCTTACGTGCACATCTATAACGTACCTAACGGAATTAGGAAAGTGTGTCATCGGGAACAACAAATCCGAAATATTACCGATTGAATGTTCAAATTTTCTTCGAAATCTTCAGTCTCTTGATTCGATACCAGAAAATGTCTCTACGTTTATAGATGATGCTCATTGGAGAACAATGTGTAGATTAAGAAGATTAAAAATCGAGATCGAGATAAAGGTAAGATTCTTTATTATGTTGATATTAAGTTAGTGTCAAAATAATTGCGATTTTCATATTATTTTTTTCATTCGGCATCGATATTTTTAATTATTTTTTTATTTAATTACCGTTACATAATACACTATTGCAAAATGTGAAACAGTGGCACTTCTTATTTGATTAGATCTTTTTTATATTTGCTATGATATCAAATATTCACGAGTTACATATATAATAAAGTGATCCTTATAAAACTGATTAATACAAATGTTACGTCCTGTGGTGTAATAAAGTGTGTGGTCTGTTTTTGGTCAAGCTGCGAATTCTTTATAGGGAATGACCTAAAGAATTGTAATGGTGTGTGTAAATAATGATTGATCTTATTCTTGACAATTATGGCAGTTCCATCGCGTGCTTTACCAATAGTTTTCTATTGTAAATGGTTAATGTGGAATTTTTACATAGTTTCTAATGGTCAAATGTGTTTCGGAGACTAATAGAATATCTATGTCATGCATAGATATGAATAATTGGATTTCTTGTATTTTATGTTTTAGTCCAATATTGTAATCGTAATTACTGTATTTCTCCAATAATCCAATCTATAATAATATCGATTAGTTTAAATCAGCGTTGTTCAAATTATTTATCTTTTTGAAAATAAAATGGTTTAATTATACACAATGTTGTTACTTCACTTATCTATTTGTATAGATATTAAATAGTTATTTAAAAATTCCTCAAGTTTGTTAAATAAAAAAGAATGTTGTTATAAAGAAACCGGTTATGGGTAAAAAAAAAAAAGTTTGAAAATGATAATATGAATAAGGGTAATAAACAATGTTACGTGAACGAATTCGTAAAGGTCAGATGCTGTATCGTGGAATTAGCCGAAGGCGAAGAAACTTTGATCTTCTATCAAAAAAACAAACAAGCTGCGCAAAACAAGTTTAACAGATCAAAAGCGGAGTTGGATAAAAGAGAAAAAGAATTTGATCGATATGTCGAGGATAAGGAGATACAGCTTGTAATGAAGATGGGACAAGTTGAGGTACCACTTCGAGGTCAAGGTTTTCAAGATTTCACGGACGTCGTGTTGATATCACGACAAGCATTCCTCTCAACGAATGAACAAATCGAAAAAGCAGATAACCAAAAATTCACAGCTATGAAGGAGTCCGTCGATTTACGAAAGAAAATATCTCATGAAAAATGGCGACACGAGTATTTATGGCACACATTGAAATATCTACAAGAGGAATTAAAAAGTCTTCGCGAAATCAAAGTAAGGAAGCAACTTTGAAAGTAACGATCATTTACATATACAATCGATACAGTCTCAATGCTTTTATTTCTTCATCTTATTATTTAGATAACGAAAGACTTACAGAAATACTTGGGGAAACTCCCGACCGCGGGAAATCCAAGAAATGAATACGAAGATATCGAACATAATTCACGTGCCACGGCAGGCGTGAGTATCTCTGAATTTATTTCTACTCTGAGTCAGTATTTGTAAACATTTTTTATCGACATATATATATATATATCGACATTATAAACGCGTAGCATATTAATTCTAGAAAATATTTATCAGATTTGACTGTTCGCGTGGTACGTTTAGAGTTAAATAAACGATCTTTATTTGAATTTAAATATAGGTATGTAACTTATTGACTAAAAGTATTTAAAAATACTGATCATGCAAATAAATCTTATCTTGAAATGAAATAATAATAAATAACAAATACGAATAAATTTCAGCGCTATGAACAATTACTGGATATCGAAAGAAACCGTCTCGAAAAAATAACTAAGGATATAGAATATTGGCGAATAAGGAATATTGAATTGAGAAACAAAATAGAACATTTCAAAATCAAAAATCGAAAATTGTCTTCACAAACTCTAGAGCCATTGAGAAAGAAGAATGATAAATTTCGTAGAAATAAACTCTTTGTCATTATGAAAAGAACCGAACTCGATAAGAAGATAAAAGAAAATTATGACGAGCTATTGATGTTACATTCGCAATTAGAATCATTAAGACTTCGAATTTATCCGACTCTACGATTCAATAAATTACATTTTCCGTAACAATTTGAAACATATTTCTTATCACTTTGATATATTAACAATATAGTCATCAAGAAAATATGTTTTTTCCAAAGATTACGCTGACCTGTAATATTGTATAATCAAAATTTCCACTTTTATCTTGTGGAGGTTAATGAAGCTATTTACTAAATGATAACATTTTTTCATGTTTTTCTAATGTTTTTCCCTAAAATAGAAAATAACTGTTTTATCTCTGATTAAAAGAGACAATAATAAAAACAAATGCATCTGAGTTGTTTTTTTTAATTTAAACTTTCATTTAATTATAGCTATTATCTCATTAAGAAATCGTATTAGAAACGAATAAAATAAGAAATAAACAAAAATCTTGTACATGTGTGAATTTACATGTAAAGAAAACGAGATTAGACATTTATTAATGATGATTAAATTGTCTAGACGTACGAATGAAAACCGGTCTATATTTTTTTTTTCTTTTTTTTTTTTTTTATTACCGGAGGGGAGTAAAGTAAAAAATATTTTACGAAAGGAAGGACATGAGTTTATTGCACTCATCTTGTTCCCTCTCCATCGCGAGAAGAGACAGAACTAGACAGTAAAATAAGAAGATGGAGGAGGAAAAAGAATAAAAGTGAAACAGGTAAACGAGTCAAGAAAATACGTCCTTCGAGATTCATATTTTATTATATAATATGTTGATTCTTAACATATTGTTCGCTTGTTATTAAATACAAAAATCATTGAATTAAAATGATTAAAATTATGCACAATTGAAATATATGGATGGAATAATATTCAAATAACAACTTGTACAATTGAAACTTTCACAATTACATAATACATAAATGCAAATTGAAATAATTACAATAAACAATGTTACATTAACGACTCGTACAATTATTATAATAATAAGTACATAATTAACACATTTTTAACCGATTAATATATACAAAAAGCAAAATGGATAATTGATAAAATGTCTAGAAAATAACTAATATTAGCATTTATTTAAAAACTCCCTTACATAAAAAATATAATAATAACTACTTGTAGAACTTTATATCTGAATAATTACATAACTTTCTTAGAGATGAACTATCACAAGTATATTTATCATTGGTCAATGTAATAACAGCCAAGAATAATGAGTTTGCGCATGTATACTTTTATGATCCCAGTTAAATAATCTTATTTTTATATTTATTGTGTTTATTAGAGAGAACAAAAGTTTTCCATAAGGAAAGAAATGTTCGTAGAAGCGCGATAAAAAACAAATAGTAGATATAAAGTGAAATGAAATAACATAGATATGTATGTACCATCTAATACATTTTGTATCAAAATTCAAACTACGTATCGTGTTGAAGGCGGAAAACTCGTTTTAGATCTTCGATGAACCACACCTTGAGCCTCGCCTTGAATTATAGTTCGCGCTTCATTACAAAGAAACATAAATGATCATGTATGCTTATGTACTTGTCTATCTAGATTAAATGAATAAATGTGATGTTAAGAAAAATATCCTAAAAATCATAAGCATAAATATTTGTTCCTTTCATAAGAGATTTTTTATCGGTAATTTACAGTCGGTGTAAAAGATTATCTTTCTCACTAATCATTTAATTAAAATCTCAATAATTATTCATTGAAAAATAAATAAATAATAGAAAAAGAAGAAAAGTATAGAGCTATTAGCTGTTCTGTTCTATTATAAGGATGCGTTTACGCACTATGTCGCAAATATACTTATTAATATTCGGAGCTGTTGTAAAATGAAATGAAATTTGATAGCAGTCGATATATTTAAAAACTCAATAGTTTTATCATTGAAATTGGCATATGCCATACATTTACATACTATGTATATATTTAGCACGCACACACACACAAGGAAAAAGGTAGAAGAAGAGGGAGGAAGAAGAGGGAGGAAGTAGGAGAGCTATAGCATAACCTCGGTTGATCCGGAGAAGAGGGCAACCATAAGAGTTGAATAGATAACGATAGCATGTTATGCAGCTGGATGAAAAGAGAGAATGAGAGTGGTTCAGCGGGAGAAGAGGGGAATGTAACCAAAGGAAGAAAGAAAAAAAGTCGTCGTCAGTCATAGCGTCACGGGACCCCCTCTCGAACGACAATCTCGGAAATTCAAGGAGGAAAAGTGTGCTCCTATATAAGATCGCTCGTACAATCCAGTAACGGTGGTTTATCATCGGCGTTCCTATCGAATCGTCCGAGACTAACACACTAGTGGTGGACTATCCCAAATTATTGACTTTTATCGTTAACACGCAGAGACATTTCTAGATTTAACTTGATCTTAACTTTCCTTTGCATTTCATTTTTCATTTTTTTCTCTCTGAAAGATATATCATTTCTTCAATAGTGTAAGAAGGAAATGAAAACTGGCGTCAAAATGATGTGTCAAAAAAGCATCATGATCCTTGCGTGCCTAACGGCTGTGATAGTGACCACCAACGCTGCTTTGGGCCGACCTAATCTTGTCTGTAAGTTTCTCACTTGGTTTCTTTCATTTCTATCATCGAGAATGAAATTCCTCAACAATTTTTTTTATATATATTTCCTCGCTAAACTAATTCAAAAAAAAACAGAAACAATTAATCATCTTTTACTATTTCCTTTTTCTTTCCCCATCTCTTTTATCTCAAATTATTTTGATTAAATTAAATTTATTATTGTTATGTTATACGTTGTACCTATTTTTGTACTTCGTAACAATGTTGCAAAGTTTATTTCATAAACAAAACCGAGTTCGATCGAGCGACTCTCGAAAATATAAAAAAAAAATTGATCGAGTTACAAAGCATATTGAATTAATGAAAGTTAATTATCTCGATTGAGTCTTATCAGGTCGCATTAGCCAATGAAGTATGTATACATATAACCCAATCTCGTGGACGTTCGCAACGTCTATTAAATCAGATTAATAGAACAATCACAAAGGAACGATGAGTAATAGAGCGAGTATAACGAAATAATGCAAGCGTAAGACCTGAATGCAACCACTGGATGATCTTCCTCTCGAGAAGTTCATAATTTCGATTGATCAACAATTTGTCGTTGTTAAATAAATCAACTCTCGTTTGATTTATTTAATATTATTTTTCTTTTGTTGTTCTTTTTTTCAGTCACCATGTGTATACCGGAGATATATTGGAAGGAATGTGTACAGATGATGGAAGACTCAGCAAGCAAAGGTATTCCTATTTCTTGCATTTCCGGTCGTGATCGATACGAGTGCATAGAAAAGGTTGGTAGAAAAGAGGCCGATGTAGTCGCTGTAGATCCAGAAGATATGTATTTAGCTGTCAAGGATAACGAGCTTGCTTCGAAGGCTGGATACAACGTGGTCGAACAGGTGATTAATCGTAACAAAAGACTTTATTCTTTATTCTTTATCTTCCTTATACATTATAGATTAGAACAAAAGTAGAACCAGATGCAGCTTATCGTTACGAAGCAGTTGCCGTAATCCACAAGGATTTAAACATAAACAGTGTTCAAGGACTTCGTGGTCTTAAATCTTGTCATACTGGTGTGGGACGTAACGTTGGTTATAAAATACCAATCACGAAATTGACAGCTATGGGTGTCCTTGGTAATATAAACGATCCAGAATACTCTGCTCGCGAGAATGAAATTCGGGCATTGAGCTCGCTTTTCAGCGAAGGTTGTCTCGTTGGAACTTGGTCTCCAGATCCAGCTATCAATCAAAGGCTCAGTAAGTATCACGTTGACTTCCCCATTCCAGATTTCCATTATGTTCTCAGAAGGCTTAGAGAGAATAATACAATATACAGTATTTCATTTTCCTATATACGAGGCGTGTTTGATAAGAGTAAGTAACGTATTGAAATAAAAAATAAAAAACAAGTAAATATTTTTGGAAAAATTATTTATTTACTTGAAAGACCATACTTTACTTTTCTACACAATTTCCATTAATAATAAGGCACTTATCGTATCGTGGGACCAGCTTTTCGTGAACCAGTGCATCATTGTTTGTTTGAATTTCACTTTCCTAGGGGATGATTTCATTGATTGGAATGCACTTGAAGAAGCGCATCTGACGGGGTAGCGCCATACTATTATTAATATCCCTTAATATTTACTTTTATTATTTTTTTTTTTTTTTTCAAAACGGTACTTACTTTTCAAACACGCGCCTCGTATATATGATATATAATATTTTAATGACAATTCTTATTTATTTAATTGTAATTATTTACCAATTTGAGGCGCTTCTCTCAATCACTGGTAGCCAACGTGTTAATCAATGTTTCAAATTTTCTTAGAGATTGTGCCTTTTTTTTTAAATATACGAAATAGTTGTATAGGATAAATTTTGCAGAATGTATGATTATATGTGAATCATTATATGTATGCGTGTAAGAAAGAAGCTACGGAAAATAATGTGTAGTGTGCGTATTGAGCAAATAGCCAAAAGTCGAGCGATAAACTAAAAACAATAACTATAGCTCGTAAGGTCAGAAAAAAACAGAGTTAATCATCGTTAGGACAGTAAAAACAGTTAATCATCGTTATTCTACCAATTAATATTGTATTTTCTCCTTAAATCCTACATATAATATGTTAAACGCACTATGATTACAGAGGAAACTTACAGCAATATGTGTGCACTTTGCGAGAATCCAAACGTCTGCGATTATCCAGACATCTATTCGGGTTACGAAGGTGCTCTTCGTTGTCTTGCTCACAACGGTGGAGACATTGCCTGGACTAAGGTTATCTATGTTAAACAATTTTTCGGATTACCAGTCGGCGTTAGATCTGCGATACCAACAAACGAAGATCCTAGCAACTTCCGCTACTTCTGTCCTGATGGTACAAAGGTACCTATTAATGCTGATACCAAACCCTGTACTTGGGCCGCTCGCCCATGGCAAGGATACATGACTAATGGTGGAGTTAACAATATAGAAGCCGTTCAAAAAGTAAGCATCCAATATTTCTTCAAAGAACAAAATAACAAAAACTTAACGAACGTTTATATGTCAGGAATTAACTGAATTAGGAGAATTGGGTGAAAAAGAAAAAGCAAATTGGTGGAAAGATTTGATGCTGTTGGATGAAAAGACTCTTGCTGTTGCTTCATCACCGGTTGATCCTGAACAACATTTGAAGAATGCCAAATACATGGACGTCATTGAAAGAAACTCAGGTGCGCCTGAAAGAAATGCTCGCTGGTGTGTATGGAGTCAGGATGCTTTGAACAAGTGCCGTGCTTTAAGTAGAGCAGCGTACTCGAGGTAACTGTTCTCAAATCATTGAGAAATCTTTCGAAAGGGTAATTGACTAATGACGATTTAAATATTCTCTTATCATTAGAGATGCCAGACCCAGGTTGAGTTGCTTATTGGAGAAGGATCTACATGATTGTTTAAAAGCTGTCAGAGATGATGGTGCTGATTTAACAGTCGTTAATGGTGGATCGGTGATGCGTGCAATAACGGCATTTAATGCTCAACCAATTCTATCAGAAATTTATGGAGCTGGTTCGACGGAATACAGCGAAAGACCAGCAGTCGTTGTTGTTAAAAAAGGCAGCTCTATCAGTGGACTTGGTTAGATTGATTTTTATGAATTATTACAAATCAAATTATTAAAGAAATAAAACACAAATATTTGATTTTTTTTCAGCCGACTTGAGAGACAAACGATCTTGCCACAGTGGCTACAAAAACGATTTTGCTGGATGGTTGGCACCGGTTCATGCTCTTAAAAAAGCTAATTTGATTAATTCGGAAGACGATATAGCAAAATTCTTTGCGGGCTCGTGTGCACCTGGTGCTGAACCAGGATCGAAATTGTGTCAACAGTGTGTTGGTAACATTGCATCCAATGACGACAAAGTAACTGAGGCAACTAAGTGCAAGCCAACTGAAGCCGAAGCTTTCAAGGGTGGTCAAGGTGCTATCAAGTAAGTTTTCTATGATCTACAATAGAGATAATCAACCATTTGGCTTCCTTAGATTATACTAACAGAAGAAGATTATCTCTGGCAGAATAATTTTCTTGACAAAAGATATTAGACAACGTATATATTTGGAAAAATAAAACTAAATAAGTACATCAAATATTAAGGTTTAATAAAGTTTACACCATTTTATGTTGTAAACATAATATATTCATTACATTGCTTAAGTGATTTATCAATCTTGATCAATCATCTCGCGCGAGTCTATTAATAAGAAATAATTCGTAAATAAATTATTCCCTATATATATATATATACATCTATGTTATAGATGTCTAACTTCAGACAAAGGTGATGTAGCCTTCTTACCTCTCCCTGCTCTCATGAAAATAGGTAAATTTCTACAAAAACTTACTTCATATCGTATTTTAATTCTATCTCGTATAAAACTTTACCCGATCACATGTGTTTTTAGATAAGAAGAACGAGACTGAAGGCGGTGTGAAGACATCGGACTTTATGCTAGTCTGTCCTGATGATGGTTTAGCACCAGTCGAAGAATGGTCAAGATGCAATTTGGGATTGGAACCACCGCGCATCATTTTAAGCTCTGTTGGAAAAACAGCTAACACTTTGGAGGAATTAAAACACGGTGTATTGGCAGCAAGTACGATTTACTCTAAGGAACCAGATCTCCTAAAACTCTTTGGTAGCTGGGGTGGAAAAGCCGACGTATTGTTTAAGGTAATTCCTAACGAAATGTATATATATATATATATGTATATATATATATATATATGTTACATGCTTGCAACAGTGAACAAAAATAGTAAGTCAAAAATTATATAGGGTGATTCACTAACTCTTCTTACTATATCATTTAATTTTATAATTATTAAATATATCACACAATCCATTTTTTTCAATTTTCTAATTTATGTTAGCCTACAATTACAATTACCGACACATATTTTAGATATGAGTTAAATATATATGAAATAAAATAATAATCAGAGTGCTTAATTAATGAATTTTTTTGTTTCAATTAGGACGATGCAATAAATCTTATCTCAATTGATAATTCATGGACCCAATGGAACAAGTGGGCTACGACAGAAGCGGATTATAAAATTGAGCCTTAAGAAAGTTTAAGGAATCCTTCGCTTCTTCTCTTTCAGGTCAATGATTCTTGTAAATAAACGCAACCCTAAGAGGTTGTTAATTGTCGATGACAACATTATATATGTGTAAAAGATTTAATCTTTAAAATCAAAGTTCTTCAATAATAATGTGAAATCGCACGTGGTCTAAAAATGAGTCTTTATTTGTTATTCCCTTTTCATCGCAGCGTTCGCGAAGGCATATCTTTGAAAGGAACAGCGGACCATCCCATTGTTGCGAGAACACAAAGAGAAATCACGAACGAATAAATATTACGATCTAAGCTAATATAATATTACACACTTTTTTACACATATTCGGAGCCATATGGAGCTTGAGATTCCAGTTAGAATATCTGACTTCCGTCTTTGTACATAAAAGGAGAAAATTACTCGCCTGGCCAGCGAACAATTAAATGTTGCATTCTGTCAGTTGCAAACAATGAAACGAGTGAAACAAGGTCGTCACATTCATATCCTTTGTATCTATTATGGGCAATATCGGTTATTGCACAGAATTTTGTTTACGGGTTTTTTTTTATAGCACAGATATTTTTCTTTCGGACACGTCGAATTTGAATACAAAAATCAAGGAAAAGTGCTATACAACATATATGCATTACACAATCAAACGAAGCTATTTAACAGCATCCTCATTGGTATAATCTGATTTGAAACTGTAAGAGTCTAAAAACATTGCTTGTGTTCTCATTAAAATGATTACATCGAATAATATGAATCAAGAAAATCCCTTCATTTAAATTAAAAAAATAGAAATTGCATTCTTCTTCAAAGACTATTTACAAATATGACGAAATGATTTTGTTCATTGGTTGCAATGATGGACGCAAATTACGATCTTTTTCGTATGATTCGCAGTGTGTTAATATTAACGACTTTTTGATGTACTATATATTCTAATGAAAGCAAAAATGAACTAACAACGGAGCCACCAAACATGAAAATTAATAATGGCACCATGTCGTAAAGCTCAACCGACGTCCATTTACTTTTAGGCTGAAAAACGTATGAAATTTATTGTACCAATTCGTTTTTTAATACAAAGTTCGGCAAAAAAATGTATACACACTTTACTGATAAGAATTTTTCTTTTAACAAAATGGCGAAATACTCAATTATTACCAAACAATGCTTATCCGAACAAGAGTTTACAAGGACACTGTCTTAAACAGTTAAATGTCACATTCAATTTCCCAAATACTTTTTTAATTTAACACCTACAGACCTTTAGCTCTGAAGAATATCGTGTATCATAGAAAACCGATTACAATAGCAATCTTTAGAAAAGAAATTAAAAATGCATATGCATTGGACATTTATGGGAACATTGCGAAAGCAATAGTTGACCGTATATATTAACTCGACAACAAGGGAAAGCGTTATTTGTAGATTTTAAAGCTACTTTTAACTCATAAGGACATCTTAATCATTTGCAGCCTCAGATTTTGTTCAAACCTTCCACACTTGTAGTAGTCCACGAGAACTATACATTGCACCCGTTAAAAATTGCTAATGGCCAGCAATGTGGGAAAAAAACGGGGGAAGAAATTTTACAAACATTCTTTACATTCGATTATATCTTTTGCTTCAATAGTGTAATAGGTAGCGGGAGGGTCTGTTCAGAGATAACTTTTATTAATTCTCGTGAAGTCTGAATGAATTTAATATTAAGATATTAATACTAATTTTTCTTTCCCTTAAGTGTGTGTACATTTTATGGATGAACTTTGAATGTTTTAATTATACATTGTATAATAGAATGAAATAATGAGTTACCTTTGTGAATTGATTAGACCATTCTGTGTTCAGTAAACGTTGAAGTATTCCACTATCTCTCAACATCAGAATACTAAGTGGTAATAAACAAAAAATATCATTATAAATAATATCCTTATAAAAATATATCTTATCGCATAAAACCAATTGAAAAAGAACGACATACTTGGAATTAATAATACCGTCATATGGACTTCTATTAGGTACAGCCATCGCTATAGTCGTTTGCATTATAGTATCGAGAGATTCCACGCTGCAAGTGAGTTTTCGTTGCAATTCTGCTGCTATATTGTCCATCGCCATAAAGGCATACTTGTTTTCCTTGCAAACACGACGAAGACCATCAAAATAATTGATTGGTAGATCGGTCTCTTTCGTTAAAATATTGTCAAACAATACACTGAGCACTTTATCCGAAGTATTCTAAAACATTACCATTGTTTTTTTTAGCCTTTACAAAAATTAATAACTTTATTAAATTAGCGCGAAAATAATTGTGGTTTTTATTTTTAATTTTGCACTTATTTGATCATTTTTATTCGCTGAACCTTTTTAAATAAATTCTTAGTATTCATAATAAAACGTAGTCTCAATATTCATAATATAATAAAATTATTTATATCATTTTATAGCAATCGGTTTTACACACATTGATAAAGACAAAAATAATTCATTTTTATAATATAACATTGGAATGTGTATCTGATATCAATATGTAGTCCTCATCGAATTATAAATACAGACCATCTAAATAAAATATAAACTATTTGTCTTGATAACAACAAAATTCATACAATGAGTAGAGAAAGTATTAGGTACATGTTGAATTATGTAAAAAAAGTGTTTTTTATGAATTTTACGAAAATAACGAGATGTTCCAATACATATTGCCTGCAACTGATTTTTCTTTTTATTAATTGATTTGGCAGAAAAAAAAGAAAAAAAAAGAAAAAAAAAGAAAAAAAAAGAAAAAAAAAGAAAAAAAAAGCAGTAAAAATTTGTTAAATTTTTATTAAATTTGAAGCTTCTTAAAGGAAAATGAACTCTAAAAATTGAATAAACACAAAAAGTATGTTTTGTACTTTTAATCCAATTTAAATGAAAAATACCAAGAGCGCGCCTCTAATCGTCTACCTTATGTCAATGTTAATAAAGATAAGTAAAATAAAATATAGACAAATAAATAGAATTTATTAGCTAAAAGAGAAACTGAAACTAAAAGTTACGTACGGAAGTTAAACTCGTATACTTAGAGCTGTGCATTTTTGTATGCATTTTTTATTTTATTTAAGGGAATCTATCTATCTATGGATAATAATTGAAACGAATCCGCGTAAAACATCTGGAAAAATTGCTGAAAGCTTCAAAATGTTAATCATTTAACAGTTAATCAATCCATGTAAATTTTTCAATGAAATATTGAAAAACCGCATTTATTTTGGCATGAATCTGATAAAGAGAGATACTTTACTTGAAAAAAAGTATAATCGGCGGATTGTTGAACCACTGCAAATCGATAAGTACCATCCTTGAGAAGACCTTCCATAGTTGTGAAAGGCATAACAAAAGTTTTGATAGCCAGGAAACTTATGAGTGCTGCAGAATAAGCGGCCAATACAACAACAGCTGTTAAGTGGATAACAAACTGCACCATACGAACCGGATCTAACAACGATTGTTGCATACCTACATTTTGTACAAGAGTAATTATAATAGATAAATAATTATTAATATTCATGAATAAATTTATAGACATATATCCATCATACCTTGATTACAAAATGCTCCAAAAACGTAAAATATTATCTCTGAAAATGTTGACGGTGAATGTTCGAAATCCTCATAATAAGATACTATTTTAATTACAATTTTTATTATCATGATCAGTCCACTACTCAGAAGAATCAACAAACCGATAAAGTACCAAATATAGGCACCAAAGGGTGATGTATAAGCTCGCCATTTTATAGATGTTGAATCCGGTCTTTTTATGAATGTACGGCACCTTAAAGGACGAAAAATGAGTCAAACAATAAATTAATTTCATTTTCAGAGCATTTAATTGATTATTAATGAATTATTATTCTCTGATCAAGCAATAGAAAAATAAGAATATTTTCGAGAGTTTCTTTTTTTTTCTTTTTTTTTGTACTTTATTATTGAATTTTGAAATAATAAAAAACTAATTTACAGAAAAAAAAAAAAAGGAAATTTTTTTGATTAAACAACAATTCCTCCAATATAACGCCTCTGGAAAATTCTCTATGACTTGCACAGGTAATGTCTCCAGTTTGATTAGTTTAAAATAAAATAAAAACTGTTTTTACATCATATGATAGTGTTGCTGTGAATGAAACTTATCTAAAAAGAATTATGTTAAAAATAAAAATAGAAGGTCATTCTACGTGACAAACTAAATCGAAAATATAAAATGAAATTCTTTCATTCGCGAAATTTATTTTCGAAGAAAATGATTTTGAAAATCTGCTTGATACACGTGTACTCAATCTAGTCTCAACTTAATGAATTTCATTGTAAACTATTTTTACATTCGCGTTATTAAACGTTATTTATTTGTATATAATTTAAGACAACTCGAATTATAATAATACATAGAATAAACATAAATACTGGAATTTCATTATATTCCAAAATTGTTAAAAAGAATTTCACATACGTATTGAATGTCTGCGTACATTTTTAAAGAAGTTGTTTTACAATTTGAATTTTTCAAACGCTAGAATAATAATTGTTTTTCGTAACTATTCAATATTCGATATTTCGTCATTATACACAATAGATTTGACATGACCGAAAAAATAAAATTTAAGTGGCCAAGTATTTTTCCATTACGGATGATCCAACACTGGTACTTGTCATTTACAAAATTTCTTATTGCTGGACTGCAGTTCAATAATGTTCCATCTTGTTAAAAAATTAAATTATTCCATATCGCATAAACATCGTTTAATAATTCCGACAATACGTCATGCAACAAATGTAAACATGTCTCTGACGTTACACTATCCAGAAAAAAAGGAGGACATTATTTTGTACAATAGCTTATAGTTATGAACGTTGAACATTCCATCTGTTGGAAATATTTTTTCAACGGTTTATACAATTCTTTTGAATAAAAACTGGAATGCAAAGGAAAAAAATGAAAGGAATTCCGAAAATTTGCATTGTAAATAAATATGAATTATTCCAAATTTTCAGTGGAAGCGGGTATGAATACTTCTATGACTCATTATTTGTAAGGATAAATTAAAATTAAACGAATACCTGAATGTCTCTGTTGGATATAAATATACGAAATATGTTTACATCAGAATTAGAACAAACCTTTATCGGTCGGTAGCTTCTCATACATGATTCACATTAGGTTGCAGTTGGTTTTGGTAAATATGCACTCAAAATTTTCAGTATTATAAAAATAACATTTTTGTCAGTAATTATTTATTTTGTGAAAGAGTATTACAAATATATGAGTTCCAAATAATATATATATAAATTTTTAATGCATGATATTTTTGGAAACAATTTCCAACATGAAGAAATGGTTTTCTGTTGCACATTTCACAGAAGTATGCTGTTATTTTACCCGATATGGAACAATATTTTATAGATATAACTTTTCTTCTTTTATGATGTAATAAGATGTGACTGTGCTTATCTCATCATTAAAATAAAAAAAATCAATTCATGATAACGATTTTGTTTCTAATTATGACATACTTCGTAGAATAAACGGGAGTAGTGAAGTCGATGGCGTCTAATCTATCAGATGTCATCATTAGTTCCATGCCTGCAATATCAGCTTCATTCTTTACCAATATCCCTACAGCACCTGTCCAAGTTCCATTTAATAGATTTAATCCCCAAGAATCCGCTTCCGTGTAAGTTAATCTACGAAATGAATGAACGAAAATAAATTATTGATTTCCAGAGAGATATGCAAGAACCTGAAAATATCAAACCAATCCAAGTCACAAATTTCTTCAGGGTTAGGTAGATTTCTCTAAGAATTTCAAGATTTGAAAATATGAGAAAATATTTGAATGCTATGTTTTGGTACACCTGTCACGGCGAATTCAACAACATTAAATGCAAAACCTGACAATAAGAAATTAAAGGAAAATTCAAGAAAGGATATTTGTTCCGTCCTTTGTCGGTCACCTAAATGGTGACGCAACCCTGACGCACGCACTACGCAAGCACGATGCGGAGGAGCTGTATCATTGTTGGCTGGTTCGCCAGACTTGACCTTTGTTGACTTTCAAATACTTTAATGTTGCATATCGTTGGATTCACTATGACAGCCGCTATCAGAAAATAGGTAATAAAATGTAGCATTTTATTTAAAAAAAAAAAAACAAACAAACTCTTAAACTTTAAATCTCAGCAGTGACTGCACCTAGCAAGCAAAAATTAACGCTATATTTTACTCCCTAATTTTTCATCCAACTTTTGTTCTACAAACTTTTCTGTTACTATCATACTTTCGAATCTATCTTGGTGGCAATAGTTAGTGAATCAGCCTATATAATATGACATACCTTATTATGAATTCGATTCTTTCAGCTGACCAATTATAGAAAAAACATTATCGAAACAAGTTAATCTCCCTAATCATAGCATTATCGACGCTCTTATTGTACGTAATAAGCAAAATTTAAAATAAAATAATATATTTATTAAAAATATATATATTTTTGTTGTTGTTGTTGTTATATATAGTAAAAGCTTAAATATATAATAGATGTAAATTTTGGTTGTCTACATGTATTAACCGAAGAATAATTTCTATAAAAAAGAAACTAGAATAAACGAAAAACGATATATCGCGACTGACACGCAAAAATCTGTAAACATTCTGTCAAAATAACACGACTCACGACAAAATCACACATGACATAATATTATAATCTGCCGATTATAATCAAAATGCAAAGAAAATGATACAAAATTAAAGAATAAAATGAAATAAAACAACGAAGAAATGATAAAAAATGATGAATGATAAATAGAATAATGCTATGTAAAATTGCAAAAGAGTGTTTCTTCCGTCGGCCGGATAAAATTCGAATTTTATGGCAAAATGAGAGATTGTATGCAGAAAGGCGACGAAGAAGTGGCGATGGTAGAAAAAGAGATATTTTCGAGGAAAGATCAACGGCGAACCAGGAGGAATATTTTCGAAAAGAAACTGCGAGACTTTTGAAAGATCTGAAAAGACGTTTGGAAAAACGACGAAAAGAACGAATCGAAAGAAATAATTCAAATAAAGAGGAAGAAGCAAAAGAAAATAAAGAAAAGGATAAAAATGATTAACCTTGTGCGTATGCCAATTGCCTATCCTTTTTGAAACAACAACAACAACAGAACAAATTACATACATATTTATTACTCACGTGCAATTCATACCTTCTTGCAGCAATTTCATCAACTCCCCAAAGAAACCACTAACCTCAACAATCTCGTTTTCTTCGTTACGATGTATTAAGGACACCGGTGGATCCTACAAAAATGATATTTTATTGAAAATGATATCATAATATAATTACCCACGTAAGAGAAATTCCTAATAATTCTTATTAAACTTAAATAATCTTAATTAAACTTACGTGGGCCATGACAACACGTATGTTATGTCCGTAAAGACTATTCCTTCTTTGATAGAGACTCAACGTAGGCCCTTTGAAACCATTCATTCTATCCCAAGAACCGAAATTCATAATTCTGATTTTCGACTGTGCATCAATTTGATAGACCTCCAAGATCACCTCACCAGTTCCATTTTCGTTATCTCGAGTTACCATCAATTGGCAATCAAATGGTACGTAAATATTATGAAAAAATACTTCGATTTGGGTCCCTTTCCTGAAGAAGAGCAGCCAAGTTGGATACTCCATTGCCAGCCATGTGGAAACCTGCTATATTTTAGTAAAATAAACAGTAGCTTTTTCCTCGTTATAGTTTCTAATTATTCACAAGTCGAGTTATTTCGAAGGATAATTATTATCTATTATATATGTACAATTCAGTTGCTAAATCAATTAATTCAAGCAAACAAAAATATGAATTGTTATTATCATTCAAAGAGATAATTACATTTATATTATTACTTTATGTTATTTATATTATACTTTATTTTATAATATTCAAGAAATTTATTCGAAATATTTTTAATTTAAGTATTAAACGAGTGCTTTGATAAACAAACTTTTAAAAAATTAACAAAATTATGTCAATTGCTTTGGCATCTGAACAACAACTCATTTATTTATCAAATCATTTACATATGCGAGCTCGTCCCTCGTATCATTGTAATCATTCAACAAGACGAACAGTGGCCTTTTTATGTGATAATAACTTTCACCCACCTGTTCAAGAAAAAAAAAAATAATAAAACCTGAATAATTACAGAGTTTATATGTTTATGACAGAAAATAAGAAAATCGCGTTCTCACTCGTGTCTTGAACATATGAAAATCCATAACGACCGTACGAATATGAAGAGTACCACTTAAATATCTTTGAAGGGAAAACAATTCCGTGGCCTCATCCAAACCTACGAAATAATACAAATAAAAACAATAGACATTTTATCTGACGCGCGTACTGCTTTAAAATGATCATTTTTATAATAAACTTGAAACAAATGTCCAATTTACAATGTCCAATTTGTCAACCTTGCAATAACTAATCATATCAATTTTAAATTCATTGTAATTTACACAATTGTAAGTAAATTCGAGAATTAACATTTTCAAGAAAATGATTAAAGTTTTATTATATATACTCACTAGTATTCTCCATAACATTGGGAGTACCGTGCAAGAGTATAATGCATGTGTTATTAAAAAAATCGTGCACATTGCGTATTAAATTTCGATAAACATAAGTAGGTCTAATCAACAGTTGACCTTGTGTTATCTGTATTCCAATTAAAATTAACATTAAAGAAAACAAAGTCGACAGCATGTTTGTTTGTCGAGGAAATTTTGCAAAATAATGTCACAAAAAACACCAATAATAAACAAGTTAACATTTTTACGAGTTTAAAAGAAAAACATTCGAGTCGTGCATTCCAACAAACGATGTTTCGTTATGCAAAGACAGGAAGGTACTGATTTACATAAAAAATTTACTCGCAAATAGGCATTATTTGACGCATATAGAGAAGCAGCCTATATTAGATTGTAAATAGGTGCAATCGCAAATACTTTCTCTATGTTAATAGATAGACGTAACAAACATATAATCAAACTACGAAATCGAATTTGATGTTATTTAGATATTGAGAACTATAATAATATGTGTGTCGCTGATGATACACTTTATATTCAGCGATAGTTGCCAAGCTAATGAATACATAACACACTACATTGCCTTACAAAAAAATACATTCCCTTTAACACTGATTTTGCATTCCGATTTGACGTGCACAATGTCATTACGATACTTCATCTGATCGAATACCTTCAATCCTATTTATTTACATTGCTTAAAATATCGTCTTATAGAAAATGTGAACTTTTATAGGAAATGAAAAATACACACAATGATTCAAAACGTTCGCCATTAATATCTGAGAACATTAACGGTCGATTGCAATCTTTCGAGATAATATAATATTTAATGTTTGATCTGCACGTAATATAAGCACGACCTAATCGCAGTTGTACTGAATCGATTCTATTCATATTTTATTATATCGTTTAATTACAAATTTTCGAACAAAAACTGCACAATGTTATTGCAAAATAATTTTTTTCTACTCTTACATTTATTTGAACAATATTTTAGAATACTTTTATTCAATATTGTATCAAATAAATGGGGCTCCGTGTAGATAAATATTTTCTTTAATATCTTCTCTGCTTATTGAACTAAAATCCAAGTAAATAATTAGTCAGTATTTTTTTAGATGCATTGTATTTAGAATAGAAGTAGAGTTGGATAAGGGTTGCATTTTGATCCACACGTGGAGGAACCCAAAGCGGAGGAGCCAGGTACACTTACAATCAGCCAGCTTACCTATAAGTGGTGTGTGTGTGTGTGATGCACTAAAAATTCTTTAGTCCCGGGCCTCTCATTTAATCTGAATATAAAGATGTAGTTTAGTTAGAAGGAAGGGGGGAAGACTCCTTGGTCATTGGAATATAAACCAACCGGTAGATTCCCCTTCCGCTGGATTTCGCACTTTGTCGGTCGCCGGTGTCGTGAGAAATTCCAAGAATCTACTAATGGTTGTTTTTATTATGAATTTCGAAAAGTGCCGAAATAATAACAACTCGATTTAAATTGTCTCTACCTCTCTATCGATTCTTTCGTGTAATTTCCATGGTCCCGTCGGGCTAAATATCAATGTCGTTGTCCTACTGGGGTAGGAATTTACTGGGAAAGAGTCTAGGGTTACTTATTTTTTAACGATAGAAAAAGGGGAGTAGGTGCGGGCGAGGGTACTTTTTGAAATACGTTTAGGAGTACGTAGGATAGCGGTTTCAGAGGATAGAAATATGAGGCAATCGCCAGTATTCCGAAGCTACATTCCTCAAGCGCAGCCTTCAGATACCGTGCCTCCTAGATCTTCTCCTTATTCGATAATCGACGACTATTTGATAAATGCTCAGTTACTCTGGCACTTTTATTTAAATTTTCAGATTTTGGTCCGATTCTAACGTTATTTTCCGCATCTTTAATGGAAGGATCAAGCAACACGTGACGAAATCAATTATTCTCGGTGTAGTTATTACTTTTAATTATACTTAATAAAAGACGATTTTAATTGTTAATTAAGCGTTAACAGAAAGGATAGTAATGGATAACGATGCAAACATTATAAATGCTTACGAAAAATTGTCTACCGAAGCTCTGGTTCTCACAATTCTTTTACTAAATTATCGTATTTACAATAACGTAGAAATAAAGACCGTTTCTCTGCAAAGATAGTCTTAATAAATAGTATCCTATATTATATGAATACATTTATCCTCTCTTTTATTATTTTTCTTCATTAATAATAATATTTTAAATATTTCGCGCCGATAGCTATCGCTTCCGTTTTAAAAGCTCCTATAGATTAGTCCATCGTTTTCATGGAAATTCTGTGTATACTACATAAGTCAAAGAGGTTATGTTTATTCACGTTTACTATTATTTATTGTAAAATTACTTGAATAATGGCAATGGCAGGGGCAGGACCAAGTAAACAAGCATTACGGTATTTTCTTGGAACGTGTATGCCATCTGTTAAACAAAATGCTGTCAAAATACGTGTGCAACGTCTTGATTTAGATAAACATCTTTTGATGGTAAGGTTCTATTTTAAATTTAAAAATATAAATACATTAAAAGTATATATATGATTTTTTTCTTTTTTTCATCGTCTCAAATAAAACTTATTTCTTACTTTTAAAATCTAGTATTTCAAAGAGTATAATTTCATCTATGCCCATGATCCAGATAGGAAGTGTAACATAGGAGATATTGTTTTGATACAAATGTTACCTGAGAAGTTAACACGTCTTATTACCCATAAAGTATACATTTAATAGTAATAATAATAATAACATTAATAATTCATTATATTGTATTCATAAATATTTTAATTCTTTAATCATAAAATTTCAATATACAGGTTGTAGATGTTATTTATCCATTAGGTGATATTACAGATCCTATAACTGGTAAAAAAGTTGTTGTTAGCAAGTATAGGTAAGTATTATATTAATACTAAACCTACCGAGATACTTCATGTGTACCTATCCCTATCGTGTGCGGTCAAATGACCGTTTCAGAAAAAAAATTAAAAAAAAAACACATTTATCTTAATATAAAATGAGATTTTAGCCAATTTGATAGTGAACAATATATTTTTTTTTATTTAATAGTGAATAGAATAAATTTTATGCGTTTTCACTGCAATTTTTACAAATTATTGGACGCGATCATTTAACAGCGCTCGATAGTCTTAATGTTTAACATATTCGAGATCGCTAACGTACTCCTATGTCATTTCAAATTCTTTAGCTGAATACCGATGATGTAGCCCTACATCATTTCTAATTCTTTAGTTTAATATCGATTACATAATCCTATGCTATTAAATATTACATTTCAATTATTAATTATTATTATTTCAAGCTATATCATATATTCACAATATCCAGCTAAACATCTCACCCGAACAATGTCAATCTTAAATATGTTAAATATGGATATTGTATGCATATGTACATACATATATAGACTATATAAATATATCTATGTACAATATATTTTTATTTAAATGGATTTATATTTTCAATCAGGGATAATATAAAGGAGACTAATCAATTATTTGGTGAATCCAAAAATGCTTTTGATTACGATAAAGCACCTGCTAGAGGAATCACAAAAGATAAAAGAGATTTTACGTATCAAGAGACATATGTTAAATACCAAGAAGATCCAAATGATCCTCAACCATATGCAGTATAATGTACTTATGTATTTAAACGTATAAATAGATTTTAATGGCAATTTGTGTAATGGAAAAATTACTTTATGTTCCATGCGTTTAGTTTTAAAAATACTTTTCGTTATTTAATATGACACCTTCTTCACAAAATTATGTATTATGCTAAGAAGCCAAGTATAGTTGTTTATTTCTCAAATGAATTCCTAGTGATATTAATTTAAAAAGTTTCAACAAAAATTCTTTTTTAATATAAATTTTATGATCATATTGTATAAATACATAACCCGTCCACTGTTTTCAATAATTCCAGTTAATACAATCGTTTAAATATAAAAGTGCTTTTACATTTACCAAATATATAATATAACAAATTCAATTAAACAGTGTTATTACTTTTGTATTACGTTATTCTGAAAGAAATTCTCTTTCAAGCGCGGCTCCCATAGCATTCCATTCTCTATCATCTTCGTTTTCAATTGATTCAAGATCTACAGAATCTTGAGAATTATCACCAAAATCTAAATCATCTGGTAAATCTTTCCCTCTTCTAAAACGTATTGTAAGATCATTTTCGTCGTCGTCGTCGTCGTCGTCGTCGTCGTCGTCGTCAACGTCATCGTCATCGTCATCACCATCGTCATTGTCGTCACCATCGTTGGCGTCATCGTCTTCTTCGTCTTCATTCTCATCATTGTCATCATCATCGTCGTCGTCGTCATCGTCTCCGTCATTATCGAAACTTCGATTGCATAATCTCCTTTTTTTAAACGATTTGCACTCAAAATCTGCAATTAAAATTTAATTCGAAATGTTAATATTTAATTCATTATTTCTTTTTTAATTATTTTAATTTAATTTAATTTAAATTCATAATTCCTTTATGAACGAACGATGTATACAATGCAACAATGCGAACGACATATATTTCTTTAAGGAAATGACTTCATTAGAGAAATCATCAGTGTAGCCGATTATCTCATATATGCGTCCAGTATTATATTATTGCATTTTGAAGTTAAATCAATAATAATAATAATAATAATAATAGTAAATCATAAGTATGCTTTATGATCATAAAATTTCCATATTATTTGGCAAATAGTAGCACCAGTATCTTTTAAATTAATAGATCAATGCAATTAATCAACATATTAATACGATGTGTAATACACAACAAAAGTAAGCTGAACATTTTACTATACTTTATATCTATAAAGGATTAATAAGAGCATATAAAAAAAATATTACCATATGATAATCCTTCTGAATTGGAATTTCTTGCGTGTGTTCTTTTATTACATTCATTAATATTATCATCTATATCAAAAACAGAAGTCTCTATATCCTGATCTTCCATATCTTCTTCTACTTCCTTATCCATTATTTCTATTTCTTCTTGTGTAAATGACATTAAGGGATTTATACTATCGGCAAATTTATCTTTTAATTCGTCCTTTTGTTCTTCTATATGTTCTGGACTGCTACAGTGAGCAGGCGGTATTCTAGATGCACGCGCCTAAAAAGCTTTTCTTATATTATATTTGGCATTATATCTAATATATAATCTGTACGATTTAAAATGAAATGTTTGTTTTATATATTTTGAAGTTCTTTTTTTTTTTTTTAATCCTTTACACCAGGTACATGTTTTCTTGTGTAAAAATTAGTTAGACTAGATAAAAAAAAATCTAGTATTTTTCTGTATTTAAAAAAAAAAATTATTATTAATTTAAATATTCACACATAGAACAAGTGTACGTACAGACAAAACTATATAATGTTACTATAATTTATTTATCTTTATTAACATGATCAAAAACGAGCAAAGTTTACTAGCAATGCTAGTAGTTGGTGTGTAAAAGGTTAATAATAAAATCATATACACCTTTGTAGTAAGAGGAAAAAGGCGTTCATCAACATATTCCCAACGTTCTGCACATGCCCAGAGCCAATCTGGATTTACGATTTTTATATCACCTCGTTTTTTGGCAGCATTTACTTTTGCAGTTCCCGGTCTAATAGCAACTAAATGTGTAGTATTTTCCATCAAATCCTAATACATTTTAGTCAATCATGATGTATATGCATAAAAATGTATAAGATAAAAGTAAAAGATATATAATTAAGTAAAAACTTACTTGTGTAACTTCCGCTCCAAATGCTCTTGCAACTTTATAAGCACGACTTTGATTAAGTTTTTGATGAGTAGGTATCAATCCGCTGAAAGTCAAACAAATATCTTTTAATACTTGTGCTCTTACACGAGGTATGATAACTCTTAATGATTTTTGTCTAATTTCCTTTTCTATATTGTTGTAAAACTCAGCATGTATTTTTCGAAGAATATCTTCTAAATACAATAAATAATCATCTTCATCCTCATCTATAAATTTATTTTCATTGCATTTCTCTTTCTTCTCTGTTTCTAGATTCTTATCTTCCTTTGAATTATCTCTATTTAATTTTTGAACTTGCTCAGTATCATTTTCTGATTTTTTTTCCATATCATTTGATTGTATCTCAATATTTTTTTCCTTAACTCCTTCATCATTTTTATCTTCTTTATCTCCTTGATCATTTTTATCATCTTTATCATCTTTATCATCTTCATCACCTTTATCATCGTTATTTCTTTTATCTTCTTTAGTTCCTTTTTCTCCTTTTTTACCTGTATCTTCTACATTTCTTTTATCATCATCAATACATTTTGCTTCTTCTGATACAGTAACACTTTCAAATTCTCCTATTATATTTTCTTTAGCATCATTATTTAATACATTTTTATCGGTCGAGTCCAATATACCGTTATTAGTATTTTTACTTTGTATGTCTTTTACAGCAGTCGATATGGGTGTAGTGGGATCATTTTTTTCTAAACCAGGTGGAGCATGTATATCACCGGTATGAGGAAAAAAGTGATAAGGTTTAACTTGTACTAAGTTGCCACATCCTTGCCATACATCCTCTCTGTCATCTATGATGCATACCATATCGTCTCCGCAAGGAAATAAAGCCCTATTAATTAAATAAAATATTTAATTATATGAAAGATCGATATAAAATAAACATCTGATACTAGTAAAGAGATATTAATATATAATCATACTTTAAATTAGCTGTTTTGGATGCTGGATCAAAACATTCATCTCTTGAAAGTATTCTGTGAGAAAACAAAGTACCATCTTTATCTAATAAAGATGCTACAGTATGTGCATAATTTCTTGCACCAAATGTACAGATATGTAATTCGTATAGATGACTCATTTCTAAGAGAAAATGTCGAGTGTTTGGTCTTAAGCGTGTATGATACCATGGAGAATTTGGTCCATAAAGTTGATAATGATACACATCCTAAAATATTAAAACAATATTTCATAATACCACAGGATAGGAATATTATTTAGAAAAAATACTAACCTTCATATTAGGCGGCACATTATCGTTGGTTGTGTGAACGATAGTTTGATCAAGATCCACAAGTAACGCCAATTTACGATCACGTAAAAGTCTTTGTACATCTTCTTTTCCTATTTTTTCAGCTAATTCTGGGCATACTTTAAGTTCAGGTACACTGTGTATCATTGGTACAACAGCTTGAGAAATTACGTTTCCTCCATCTTTTCCATTTCCTTCTATTCTTAAATCTACACCACATTCTGCACACAAATCCTTCATGACAGTAGGATGTTTGCATCCTTCAAGCATCAATATCGCTTCCCTAAAACACTAACAAATTATCCGGGTACTGAACAATTATAAGCATATTAAATTTATGCGTAAATTAGATTAAACAACAAAATATATAATAAAAATATGAAGATTTTAAATACTTAAATGAAATTATCATAATAATATAGAGGTTAAGGAATATATACCCAGGTTTTATGATGTCACCTTCTTTAGATAATAATTTTATAATACGGCCATATCGCATAGCTCGAAACTTCTTTTCAGAATTTTTACTTTCATCATTGTCCGACGTTATGTTTCGGTAAAAAAACAATACTCTACCGGCTGATACCGTTGTATTCATACGAACTCTCCATTTCAACAGTTTAGCTGTTTGCTCTTCCTTAGGAAATATTATTTCTGTAGTTGCCATAATTATTTAATTACTTAGATCATTATATTCCCGACATTATTCGTAATAATTTAACAAAATAATCAAACTTTCTTAAACAAAAATAATTTAAATACATAAAGGTACTCATTTAGTGGTTATATGTCTGCCATAATATTATTCTTTCCTGCTCATACGAAATTCTGTCCATGATTTGCTAATTTATAGACTGTCGCGCGCCCCCGCGTAGCAGTTTTTCTCGTAGTAGTTTTCTCTAAACTTGCCCAAACATTTCTTTTTATTTCTCTTATTCTGCTTCTGTTGTCTCACGTGACGAATGTACACGCGTGGCCAAAACAATCAATTTTTCAATTATAACATTGACAATTTTATATTCAATTATAATTACATTGCATTCAGACAGGATGTCAATAATTAATTACGAACGACATATGCTTCACAATATTTCTCATTGTTGATAATAATTGTAAAAAGTAATTTCTTTCTTGTAATATATTATAGAAACAAATGAATTAATTTCTTATCAAAATGAACATTCCAAAAGATGACGACGAAGATTTTTGGAATAGTAATGAAAAGCATTATTTCTGCTTCGATAAGGTTAAAAAGTATATTGCATGTTTTAATGAATCTTTTTTTATGTAATATTTTTATATTAATATTATTATTATTATTACTATTATTATATTATTATATATAATATTTATTCAATAGGAAGATCAAGAAGCTTTAATCAATAGACCAGAGAATTTAAAACCTCTACTTTCCGTTATTTCTGAAAAGACACTCCATTGCAGTATGTTAAAAGTTATACTATATTTAACAAATACTAAATTGTAATATAGTGATATGTAATATACAAAAGTCACTTTTGGGATACCATGAAAAAAGAATCAATATTTGTTTATTAATAGAATTATAATATTTTTTTTTTCATTTAAAAATATTAATTTCTAATTAATATTGTGTTAAAAAAAAAAAGTATGGACTCACAATACTACCACTATAGAAACTCCTAAAATAAATGAAAAGCTTGTCAGTGTAGTTAAGTGACTTTTAAGAGACTCTGCATATATAAATTATATCTTCATATATAAATATATGAATTTTTAATTTTATATTTATATTTATATTTGTATTTTAGTTTTAGCTTTAGATAAAATAGAGAACATTAATGAAGAATCTAACAACATTTGCATAGAACCAGATATTACTTTAAGAAAAATATTAATGGGGCAGTCCTATTCATTGGAACCGTATAAATCGTTAGCTAGCAAGACTGCATTATTAAATTCAGCTATAAGAAGTGGAAATGGAAATGCTATACTAATAGTAATTATATAATTATATATATATATATATCATTTTTTTGAATCTTTAAACAATATTTATATCAATTACGAACATTTGATATATGTATGTTTTTCTAGATAGTTTTGTTTTTAAAAAAAACTTTAAAGAAATCTTTAGTTTACCGTTTACTGGCGGAAAGACCAGAAGCAGTGAATGTATATGTACATTATCTTTCTGTTAAATTAGAAACAAATGAAATAACAGATATTTTATCGTAAGTACATCATTAAAGTATCAATTACAAATAACTTCGTATAACATGGTTATTAGATTCCTAGGAAATACTGTGTTATGTAAAACAAAGTAGTACAAAAAAGAAAGTTGTTTTTCAAAAATTAAAAAACATAATATTTGGTTGTCCGAAAAATTCGTATGGACTGATATTTTTAACATTTGGTAACACCACGTTGATGTCATATTATAACTACTGGACAAATGTCGGCATCAGACGAAAGATTCGTTTACGCGTAAACACGTTTAACGCCAAACCTTTTTTTGTTAAACTGGTCGTTTAAGCTATATGGTCATATAATCAGCCATAGAAAAACAGAATGTCTGCCATTGGTGATTAATGTGGTATGTTTTTTATTGTCAGAACATTTGACTTTTCTTTCTAAATATAAATTAAGTGCTTGCAGTTTTACCGTCTAAGTTTAGGACATCTTGTATATTCATTAAACCTACAAGAATATACTAATTCTTATGTTTATTTTTTATCACCTTGACTCTCTTACATTACGTTTTACAGATTTTTCTAATTTTCAAACCGTGAATGAAACCTTATTCTTGGATACCATGTTGTATAAAAATTGTCCTCAATTCTCCTTGTCAGCGTTGTGAAAATGCCATGTTATACGGGTGTTCTTTGTATTATCTTATTATATCTAATAATAATAGTGTTTATATTTTTCAGAATGCTAGGTCAATCAGTAAATTCTGCAGTAAGTATAATCTTTTTAAAATTTTAATAATTTGTTTACATAATATTATTATCTTTAATTACAGATGATAAATCTGCATATTATTTTAAAGAATATTCAAGATTGTGATAAGTTACTATATAAACTTCGTAACTGTTATAAGACACAATTCTTTAACTTAATTGATTGTAAAGAAACACAGTTTCTTAATTCTTATATTCAATTATTAGGTAAGTATAGAAAAAAATATATATGTATTATATTTATGATAATTAATAATATATTTATATATGTATATATAGAATGGTGCCTGGCAGTAAAAAACACAGAGAATGGTGAAAAAATAGAGACAAATTGTTCAGTTCTTGATTTTTTACGTTATATATGTAAAAATGATAAATATTCTTCGCAATCAGCTCTAATGTTTTCTCAACAACACAATGTATCACTTGAGCAATATCATAAAATTGTAATAAAGGTTAAAGCATCGCTTGGTGAATGGGAATCCATTGATCATATATTTTTAACTAAAGTAATTATATTTTAACAGAAACAATTTTATATTTTAATAAATGAATGTGACAAATGATAAATCATATGATGACATGTCACAAATTAATTTTGTTTGTTTAATACAGGGATGGCGTGGAAATATAAAGTTACAAACATCACTACCGGTAGAAGATATTGTTAAATTGCTGCATAAAGCGCATGCACCACTAAACGTTATTGAAAAATATCTAAAATATATAGACAATATCGACAAACGATTAGAGCTAGCAAAATCTTTCAACTATTATCGAATTGTTGTAGATGTATGTACTTTTAATAATAATAATAATATATTTATATATGTGTCAATAATTATGCCAGTGAACTAAATTAAAAAATTAAAAAAATGTATTTTATAATTTATTTTATATTATAAATAATTGTAATATAAAATAAATAATAGAATCAATTTTTTCAATTTATTGATTCGGTCCATTGTCATAATTACGAAAGTATATTTTACAAAAATTATATACTTATCAACAGATATTATTTTAGATTTTTGTGGAGCAAGGTGATAGAACGGCATTGTTGGAATACAAAAACAAACTTCAACCACAATCAGAAGAGTATTTTTACGCCACGAATGCTTTGCGTATTCCATCAGTCAAATGGAAAAATAATTAATTTTTTACTATTCTAAATGTTAGAATATAATATAAACAAATGTGGGTAAATCGTACACATATTAGATTTATATATTTATTTATTAACCAAATCTATAAAATGTATGTTAATATGTTAATGAAATTTTTATTTGTTTATAGAATATCAGAAAATATAACAATATAAGAAAATTATAATAAAAAAACTTTTATTATAATAGTTATTAAAAATTGTATTCAAAATCTGTAAATAAATGCATAGTCTAATCAAGAGGCTCTCGCGTAATAGCGTTACCGAGATTTATTAATAAGTAATAGTATTATCGTTAACTTTTGGTTTACGGAACGCATTTCGATTTTAATGAGGAAAATTACAAAATCCGTTCGCATTTTATTTTTTGACTTGTACTAATTCGTATGCATTTACGGAGGAAAATATATGAGCCATTCAATGCACTAATCGATTAACTCCATAAAACCAAAAGTAGAGAAATTCGATTAAAAAATCTACACTGTTTCTTAAAGTTTTCTTTATATATATAATTAGGTTTTTATTGCACAACTTACAAAGTTTTTTTACAATGTCTTGTCATTACCTTACTTATATTTTTTTTCTCTCATTTTTGATATTTGCTCCACTCCCTCCCCCCTCATGTCTTACCATTTATATCATCCTTCTTACATTCATACTATCCTTTCGTTCTTTTCTATCCTCTCTTCCTCCCCAACCCCTACCAATATTTATCAACATTCTTTTAATCATACTATCCTTTCAATCTTCTCACATTCCGTTTGTCATATATTCTTCCTGTTTGCTAAATCTTATTCGAATTCGTCTTCGCTACGGGGAACTCATGTTGGGTAAAGTCCAAAAACGGGAGAGATCTCAAAGTGGATACGTGGAACATACGAAATCTGTACAGATCTGGGGCAAGAAACTATATGGACCGGGGAAGGTTCGCTTAACACGGGGGTGTATACGCTTCACTATGGAGGATCGGAGCCCATAATTTTATTTTATTTATGATGGGTTTATGATTGGTAAGAAAATCCTATCTCTCCGCGATAAGAAAAATTGAATTTATAAACGAAATATTAGGACTACTCGTTTAGTTGTGCAGGGTTGGTGGTAAAAAATCGCGATAATACGCGCCGACGGAAGACAAAGAAGATGAAATTTAAGACGGGTTCTAGGAGGAACTCGAACACCTCGTGGATCAATTGCCGGAAGACTACATGAAAGTAATCTAGAGGGATTTTAATGCGAAAATCGGTAAAGAGGATATTTTCAGACCAACGATCGGGCTCAAAAGTTTACACAAGGAAAGTAATGATAACGGAGTAAGGTAATCAACTTCCCGGACCAGTTTCTAAATATTAGGCAAGCGGTGCATAATATGTTTAAAAATAAGAAGCGGCAATACCTAAAACAGAAAGTAGAAGAGATAGACGAAAATTGCCAAAGCAGTAACGTCCGTGGTATGTACTTGGGGATAAATAACTTTAGGAAACGATTCCAAGCAAGGACGGAAATAGTTAAAGATAGGAACGATAATCTGATTACAGATATCAGGCTTAAAGAAATGTTTTTAATCTTGGTCTAAATTTTGTACATTCGCTACCTGAGTGACGCCATAAGAATCGTCGCCCAACTTAGTTAGTCTCCCTCTAATGTATGGTAGGTATGAAAGATTGACCGTAGAAAAGTTGGACTTTGATAAAATATGTTTCGTCGTTTTTCCATGGGCTCTCTTAAGCTATTAATTTTTTTCAGTAGATGGCGCGACGATCGTCAAACGCTACCTATCGCTATATAAAACAACCAATTTACGACTATTGGGAACGCGTTCCAAAGACTTTAGCCTTAAACAAGAGTCAGTTGAGTGTGAGTCACGTAAGAAAGAAGATGTCGTAAGGGGAGTTGAAATAAAGTTTAATATCACTAAATATCTTGCAGTGGCGCCTTTTTTCCCTTGAAATGTTCTATTATAAGTGTTATTAACCATACAGATATAAAGTAAACTTTATTTCATGATATAACTACTACGAGCTACTGTAGTAGAACGTTATGAAAGTTTAAATGTAAATACAAACTTAAAATGAATTGTTTGATGAATTTAGTAATGAAGTTTTATGGGTATATTTGTTTAACAAAATAAGAAAATTATAACATTAATACGAAATTCAAATTATTATTATTATCATATTGTGATTTCAACAATGTGATTTATACTAAATTGGTCAAATATAATGTTTAAATTATATTTTACAGGCATTGATGAAAATTTTCGAATACACTTCTTATAACTTGTTTAAGGTTCGTGTGTATGTGTTGTGTGCTTTTAAAGTGATAATCTATTTAATTTAAAAAAATGGTTACTGGACCTGCTGAACATGGCATACAAGCTGATGTTATATTTGTTATTGAAGAAACAGCTGTAAATGGTGCATATTTGAATGATCTCAAAACCAATTATTTAATACCTACATTAGAGTAAGTAATATTTGTGTAATTATATAACTTTAATACATATGAATAAAATGTAATAACAGTAATGTTTATTACACTGATTTGATTTTTTTTTATAGGTATTTTAGTCAAGGTGGTATAGAAGACAGAGAATATGTTGCAGAGGTATTTTAATTCATGCGTTATTATTTATTTTATGCAACATTTATATTTAAAGTATTATAAAGTATTTTTCTTTTAATATAACAGAATAGTACTACACTGTATGGAATAGTATTATATCATGCTGCTGATTGTTTGCCAGCATCTTGCACAGAAACTCTTGGCCCTTACGTAAATCCTCATAAATTACTACTTATCTTAGATAAACTTGAGTATGTAAAATTTTATATTTATTATTTTAACCTGCGTTTTAGTTACAAACATCGCTGGCATAACTACTGAAAGCACCCTATGCCAACTGCCAGTTAATATAATTTTTTCTATGTATGTATATGTATCATTTATTAATTTAAAATGTTATGATTTTTTTGTAGAATGGTTGGTGGAAAAGGAGAATCACACGCAAATATTGGAGAAGGCCTTGCCACTGCATTGCAATGCTTTGAAGATTTATTGCTAAGACGAGAACCGAGTAGTGCAACACAGAAACATTGTATTTTGATTTGTAATTCACCACCGTATCAAACAGTTATTCAAGAATCTTATAAATTTGCCGGTCATACTGTCGAACAAGTAGCTACTCTTTTCCAAGAGGTCTATCATTTTTTAAGTAATTATTAATCGATTCTTATATATATAAATTGAGTACTTCATAATATTTTTATTTTTAGAGAAACATCAATTTATCGGTATTGTCTCCACGAAAGATACCAGCATTGTTTAAACTATTTGAAAAGGCAGGAGGTGATCTGCAGTCGTCTCAAACAAAGAATTATGCTAAAGATCCACGACATTTAGTACTTTTACGTAATTATAATTTAAAAGAGAGACCTGTCAGTCCATCAATTGGAGGAACAGTTCATACAGCAGTACCAAATACAGCGCAGATTCCTCTTAGCCCATTACAAAGCAACGATAGCCCAAATCCAAATCAAGTCCAGCAAAGTATTGCTCCAACACCACAATCACAGACTCCTACATTCAGAAATCAAACACCTCAAAATATTGCTTCGGTTCATCAATCAGTAGCACAAACTATGGCTGCACCTATAAGTGCACGATCACCCTATAATCCTCAAATATCTGCTCCGCCAAATTATCACCCAGGGGCTGTCGGTGCAAGAGCTACACATTCTAGATGGATGAGACCATTCATAGCACCAAGTGCTAATGCTCCCACTAATGCACAGAGTAGTGCCTTAATTGCTCAATTAACACAACCACCTTCATCGTTAGGACTTAACGTATCTCCATATGGTCAAAGAATGGATGGTAGTATGTTACTGCAAATTATTATCCTATTATATTTATATGGATTACAAAATTATATGAACTTATTCATCTGTTATATATTCACATTTCAGTGGTTAACAGTAATATCATGGCAGCGAATGCTCAACAACAACAACAACAACAGATAAATCAGCAACAGCAGCATCAATTGCGATTGACTATGCAACTACAACAACAACAGCAACAACAAGCATCCTTGTCTATTTCAAATCAGCCAGCACACAGTCAACCAACGCCACAACTCACAGCATCGTGTGTAAGTCCATCTGTGCCTACTCAAGTTCCACCAACTGTAACTGCATCTCAAGCCCCAGTTCCAGTATGTTCTGTAACTCCACTAGCTACTCATCCTCAAGCACAGGTACTTCATGATAAATATTTTTATTATAGAAGTGCATCTTTCCAATAATTTTTTCTTAGTGATTCCATTTCCCTCTTTTTGTTCACGTTCTTCTGTTTCCTTTCGTTTTATACATGTTCAAAGTTTTGTTCTGTATTTCTCCTGCTATCTACATTGCAGATTAATGGAGGGAGTGGAAATGTTTCAAATCAACAGATTACAACAGCAAGAGAACGACATACTATTTGGCAAGGTGTTGTGGAATGGATTGAAAAGACTAAAAATCCTGCTGATGCACAGAAGCAAACAAGACACGTTCCTTGTCAAGTTTCTGCCAATTCAAAAGATGGAGATCCGGAATTGTAAGAATTTTTAATTTAATAATTATAGTTATAATTTTAAATAATTATTTTATCATAGTTATGAATAATCGTATACTTATATAGAATAATGCTGTTTTGTTAAAATTTTTAGAAAAGCAGATACATGGCCACAAAAGTTAATAATGCAATTGATGCCAAAACAATTAATAGGAAATATTGGTGGATCTTATTTAAAAAATTCCAAATCTGTTCTTTTTCATCCAACACCATGCGAAGCTTTAGAATCATTAACAAATATGATGACTTCTGGATTTGTAAGAATTATTTCTTAAATTACATCCATCGTTATATTGAAAAATTATTTTGTCTTCAAGAGAATAAGTAATATTATTAAATTTGTTTTTGCATACTTTATTTTCAGGCAGGCTGTGTACATTTTACATCTGTACCACCTAGTTCAGCATGTGAAATAAAAGTGCTTATACTTCTTTATACAGCAGAAAAACGAACATATTTGGGCTTTATTCCTAATGATCAAACAGCTTTTGTTGATCGTCTTCGTAAAGTGATTCAACAACAAAAAACTTCGCAAGGTCCAATGAGACAAGGTCAAGTAAGTATAACAAATAAAAATAATACTTACAATTCCTTGTTGCGAGTATGGGGAAGTAATTATTGCTATTAACTTGATTAAATAGGCTGGTACAGCCCCTGGAAATGCCTTACCTGGTACCATACCTAACACGGGAATATCGCAAGGTGGGATTTTATTGTCTCAAACGAATACTCTGACAATGGGTGGAGGACAGATTACACAAAATGTTGTTTCTGCGAATACTCCTCAACAGACTTTGCAAACTCCTTCAGCTCAACAAAATCAATTAACTTTACAGGTAAGCTGAAAATCGCATAATAAAGATATATTATTGTAATAAATGAAATGAATAATTCACTATAAATTAAATTGTTACAACTTGTTATAGAGTGGAGGAATTACTGCATCACAAGTCAGTGGTAATACAGGAGGTATTATCGGTCAACAAAGACCACCATTTGATGATCTTGAAATAGCCAGGCATCAGAATTTATTAAAGATCCAACAATTACGTCAAACGCTAGAGGCTGCTCAGCAACAAGAGGCTCAATATAAATCACAACTGGAAGTTAATGTAAGCACTAACAAAAATATTATGTCATGTATTTATATTTTTTGTGTGTTTAGATAATAAATAAAATATTTAATTTATTATATCATTCTCACACAGATACAGCAAAATTTAGAAGTAGCACAACAACAGGAAATGCAATATAAACAACAGCTTGAGGCATGTTATATTCTTACATATAAATAATATTCATTGATCGAATTTCTTCAAATTCTAAATATTAGAATTATCAGTCAATTAGTTGTTTACCTCGTCCAAAAATAAAATTATTAATAAATGTGTCTTAGGGAAATTGGACAGGTTGAAAAATTTGTTTAGAACGTTTGTTTTGATCTCATTGAACGTTTCGTCCCTTTATCGGGACAACAGTTGTGTTGATTACGTGTTTTGAATTTTAACAGATTTAGGATTAACGATTAGCGAATGTGAAGTACAGTTTGTTTTTTTAAAAAATAGAATAATGTATGTCTTCAAAAGAATTTATAAAATAGACTGCAGAACATTAATGATCAAGTTGCTGAAGAAGACCCGATAAAGCGACGAAACGTTCAATGAGATCAAAATAAACGTTCTAAAAAAATTTGTCAATCCGTCCAATTTCCTTAAGACACATTTATTGATTAGAATTATCATTAATATGTAATTATCATTAGGCCCAACAAGCACAACGTGGTATTGCTCCTTCCGCTATGGCAAATCAAGCATCTAATGCTCAAAGAATGATGCGTCCTGTGTCAACTAACAGTCTTGGTTTACGGCATTTACTACAACAAGTATGAAATTTAAATATGATAATTCCTCCTCTATAGTTTTGTATAATTATAATATATTAATATATATATATATATAAATATATAAATATATTTCTTTTGTAGCAACAACAACCTCAGTACAGACAACAAATTCTTGGAATACAACAACAAATGGTTAGTCCGAGAGGACAAATGACAACACGTCCTATGGCACCTAATAATACACAAAATCAACAATTCGATGATAATTATGATTTTCTTAATTAAATAATAGTATAGGTAATTATATTTTTTAATTTTATTTTGTATAAAAATTAATATAATATTATATTTACAGTTGATCACGAAAATATTCGGACACCAGTATAGATTTAATATTTATATTCTGTATTTTAATTAAATGTATAAATGACTAAAAAAAACAATCCGTGCTTTGTGTTTCGTGCTTTTCATTGTCCTGATAAAACTTAAATTGTTGTTAGATTCCCATTTTTGCTGATTCCCCTATTGTGAACACTTAAAATTTACAATGGTTCGACGAATAAAATTGATTCTGTCTTTATTTTTATATATATGTATATATTTTTTTAGGACGACTTCTATAGTTCTTTTACTATTTTTTAAAAAACTTAAAATTTCACAAGAGTTTCCCTTTTTTCGATGGAAAATGAGTAACGTAAGTGCTGCATATTGAAAAATGTGTTCTTACTTTTACGACTTATTTCTCAATAAATTTGAAACGCAATTAAAGAATACTGGAACATTGATTCTTCCTTTATATTAAAAGCATTATGCTTAAAAACATTGTCCTAATAGATTTTTGAGATTTAAATCACTGTTATGTTGACTAACAGTATTTTAAAATATCCGAATATTTCT